GAGTACAAGCCCGATAGTCTCCTGGATCTCCCTCACTGTGTCACCGCTGCAAAGAGCAAACATCCATCATCGCGTCTGAAAGAAACGCTGGGGAATTTACGTTCGGAGCTTGATGCATTTGGATGTGGAGCTGTGCAAACCTGTCAGCAAACATTTTCTTTTGCCTAATAGAGACTTTCCACATTTAGGAGAGTCCTCGTTCACACAGAAGCACTTCTCTGTGGGTTTCCAGATGCTATCATCTCTCTTTGAGGCCTTAAATTATGGAGCTAAAATTGTCATCCCATAACGTCAGAGTATTTACCAAACAGAAGAGAAAAAAAAAACACTTGACACAGATGCGGGTTTCTGGTCGACCTTGAAACTGGGGGATATGATTATGTTGCCTGGTGGTTTGACAAAGCATATCTTACAACAGCTTTAATATGTGGGTGCTTTATTGTGTTGACAAAATACTGCAAAGCTCAACTAAAATGCAAACACGGCTCCACACACTCCTGCACAAACTTATATTTATTCCAACAGATGAGTAGAGGAAATGGATGAATTTAAGCATAAAAGACCCCCTTAAGTAATGTTTTAAATATTGCTAAGAACATTAAACGTTTAAAAGGCTTTTTAAAAATACAACAATGTCCATTTTAGCATCCTATTTTCTGTTAAATCCGACATGGTTTCCATCTTAATGTGAAGCTAGTAAAGTCATCAAATCTGCATAGATGGTTAAAGAGCTGTGACACCATTTAAGAGGACAGCTATTAAGTTCTGGAAAAAAGCATCATAATTCTGCCTCTTTTCCTCACTCTACTGTGCATCCTCACTCGTCCAAATGGGATGTGGGGCTTGCTGGCTCAGATTCAAACCCATAAAACCTGTAAATCCAAAGATATTTTAACAGGATGAAGATTATTCCATTTAATAATCCATGGGGGTTTGCTGGCTTGTTGTTAAGCCCCAATTAAAAACATGTGATGTTTGAAATCATTAGATATTAAAATCTAAATTTCAATTTAGACTCTTTTTACTTATAAACTTATATAAATCTTAGAGTCAAGAGAGCAGTTCTGCAAACAAAACTGAAGGGTTTTTACCTGTGGGTTAATCAAATCCAGCTATTTAATTGGCCCAGTTCCACTTACCTGGATTCATTTTAAAGCAGTTCATTCAAAATTTCTAAACAAGTCCCACAAAATTCTCAAGGATTTCAAACACCCATGAGAACCCTGCATATATTTATTTTGTTTTATTTTGCTTAAGCCTTGAATCAGGCTAGTCAAAAAAAAGTTCCCCGTTGATGTAATAATCAACAGCTTTTGTAATCTGTTCATTTATTTGATTTTAAACTTAGAAAATATTTAAAAGAGGCTTTTTTATAATTATTTCTGATTATAATCGGTCACTCAGAGTTTTTCCATGCAGGCTGAACATGAAAATAGTCTCCTACACCTATCTCCTGCATTAGCTTCTAGTAGAAAGTAGACGATGAAACTCTAGGATTAGAAAATCCCGACAGATCTACATCTGTCACTGAACATTCATGGACTCATCCATCTTGACTCTTGACGAGGAAGGCTGTTGCTGGTTTAGCCTCCAGGAAACCGCAGATAACGTCTTGACTAATAGAAGCTAATCGTATTATTATTTATTTATTTATTTATTTATTTATTTATTTATTTATTTATTTTTCTAGAGGATAAAACTCCTTGAGATGCATCATCTCATTTTCAAGGGGGTCTTCCTTTGAAACAACTAAACAATGAGAGATAGCAAGACTATCAGTGGCCAAAACTAACTAATACAAACAGACCAAATAAATTAAATGAGAAAAAAATATAAAGAAAACAACACCTGGCTTTGACAACATGATCATGTGACAGCAAATGCCAAACTCAAAAACAATTACAGATGCAAGAAGACGCAATATGTGAACAGACAGGTTTTTTAAATCATCGAAAAGAAGTAATCAATCGTATCTCCAGAGGGAGTCTATTCCACTCTACTGGGGCTTTGACACAGAAAGCAGTTCTTCCTGATTCTTTTTTGAAAAAAAGGTGCAACAAAGTAGAGTTGATCATTCGATCTGATTGTATATTGACATTCTAAACTAAAGGAACTAGATAGATCTTTAAATATGCGGGAAATCAAAAAAGATACGTTTGAAAATAAACAAAAACCAGTGAAACCTACGTTTGGCTTTTAGAGAAAGCCAAGACAAACTCTGATACATGAAACAATGATGTGTGTTAAACAGGCCACGTAAAACAACACAGCAAATGCTGTTACAGACAACATCAAGATGTTGAAGAGAGGAAGCAGTGGCATTAAACAATATCAGCATAGTCTAGAGTAGAAATATGACTTCCTACCCTGAAATCAATACAAGGAATTGATTGAGATAGGATCTTTAGTTTGTAACGTCCAGAAAGGGTCAATTTTCACCTACATAGTAACCTACACAGTGTCCGGTCACCTACAGACATAATTCCACTACCTGAGTGGAGTTTCTATTCTGTCTTCTAAAGCCCAGAAGATTCTGCAGTCCTTGTTGACATTTCAGGGGCACAAGATACCAGCCTATGTTCCCAAACAAAGCCTTCTTCTGATAAGAACACTCTCATGAAAGAAGAACTTTTACAACTCATAAGTTAAAAAATCATTAAATAAACATATGGTTGAATGAACAAATGTTATATGAATAATAATATTAATGTTTGAATAATCTGCGCCTAATTCAATGAAGTTGAAATGAATTTTAATATTACAATGAAACATTTTGATGTTATGATCAGTAATGTTTGGTTTAACAAGTGAATCATTATCTACACTCATACACAATGTTCACAAGACATAAATTAAAGTCAACATCACTGCACATAGATATTTTCTTTATCCACACATCCAGAACATTCTTGTATCTGGGAAAGACGTGTGTTCTGAGGTTTGTTTGTTAACACTTCTTAACCTCTTTTGTCCTGATAGGCCAGGTAATCATAATAAGGGAATATTAAAACAGAATCACTTGCGGAGTGATCCAGTTAGTTTTTGAGCAGAACTCTGGACTGGCCACCGGGGGGAAACTCTCTAACCACCGCATCTCTTGACAAGCTGTCAAAAACCTGCTACACGCCGCAGCTGACACAAAAACTTGCTCCTTCCAGAACAAAGCTGACACAGCCAAGACTCCTTCAGAGTCCATTCGTCTTAGACGCAACCAACCTGCTTGTTGTGACCTGGGAACAACTCGAGACCGGTCTAGTGGTACTGCGGTGTATCCTGCGGACTTCGGTACCTGGGGATCCACACAGATTCCCGACATTCCGGATCTACCACAGGGGTTCCTATCTGGGTACGTAGGCACGACAAGATTGCGTCTGATGCTGTTTGTTAGTTTAATGCAGACCAAATTCTTTTCACACCCAGAACTCAGTTTCTTCTAGATGCAAGGTTCTGATAAACACACACCATTCAATCACCATACATCACATCCCATCCACTTAGATTCATCCATCACATTCGTCTTATTTAACTTGTCTTGTTTTTAATTTGTTTAGAAAATAAATTTATTACTTTTTATAAACCTGACTCTGTCTGAATTGAGACAAAGTGTGTTTGATCACTGAAAAAGCAAAGAATCCTAGAGTCCTCTGATTAAACATTCAAAGACCAATCAGATTGAGATTCTGTATTTATATAGAATATCACATCTTATTGGTCATGAGTAAAGGTAATATATTAAGCTTAAAAGCAACAATATTTACCCCTTCTACAAGTTGAAAGTTGACTTAACCTGTTTTGTTTGAAAATGATTTTTAAAGGAGAGGTCTGAGTCGAGCCAGACACCTAAGTGTTTAAATTTGTCGACGCATTTCAGAGGAGATCAGAAAAGGTCAGTTTAGAGATCCAAGAGGAGCTGAGGAATACTTATGCTTTTGAAAAACTAGTGAGTACGACTTACCCCAAAATTCCACTACCTCCGCTCCGCTCCACCCCCGCTTCCGAACTCAATTTTTACTGGTACCCGCTCTACAACGGCTCCGCTCCGGTGCGGAGACCTGAGGTGCGCAAACAGGCATGTGCGGGATTTTCGAGATCTTGCGATACAGTCCGAGCAATAAACGCGGAAGTTAGATCCAAACACCCGTTGTGTGGGAGAAGCATTGAAATGAACTGTTTAATCTGCCCATCATTTGTGTTGAGAGATCGGCAGTGTTTGGATCAACAAAGTGTGACTACTTTGATAGTGGAAACTGTATTTATGGCTTATTTTTGTGCATTTAAAGTTCAGCCGCCATTGATAGTTGTTAAAAGTTGTTAAACCTGTGCATATGAAACAAAAAACACTTTTTGTTTATCGATTTATTGTGAAATAACGGAAGTTGTGCTTGCTCCCTTTCCTGTTGGGCGGTTGTGATTTCTGTCCATGACTGCGGAGGTGCTCCGGCGTCCGGCAAAAATAGAATCGATCCTATTTTTGCCAGATGGCGAAATGGCAGGCGGCGCACTGCGCCGCACGGCCGCAGTAGTGGAACAGCTCTGATTGACTACAACGGGACCGATTTTGCTGCGGAGTTCGTGCCGGAGTGGAGCGGAGGTAGTGGAATTTTGGGGTTAGATTGTTAGCATTAGCAACTTCACCACACAGCAGAACTCCTTCAGGCTTGTGTTATTTGTGGAGAAAAAACATCAACATTGAAGAGCAGAGTCAGCAGTGTGTGATTGTGTGTGTGAATGGATGAATGATACACTGTAGTGTAAAGCGCTTTGGAGTCCTTACTGTGAGAAGCGCTATACAAGTGCGGGTTATTTTTTTCATAGAGTTGCTTTGCTGTTAGCCAATCAGAGGTGAGATAAGCAAATGTCAGGAAAAAATCATCCAAATCCCGTCATGTAAAGCTCTCCTCTGATGTGACATTCTGCTAGTTCCTGAAACAGGTGCATCAGAGACCAGACCTTTAATTTTCCCATCCCACACTGCAATGATTTTCTGGTCTGTGACCTACCTGGAACACCACAACCTTGCCATCATCAGCCTGCAGGTAGAAGGTCCAGGTGGAGGAGATGAAGCTCTGGGCAGAGCTGACAATGTCGTTGCACCAGCTGGATACCGCCTCCATCACAGAGGGAGGCTTTGGGCGCAGAGTCATAGCCTTCAGCTGCAAAACAAGGAGACAATGAATGAGTTATTTTACTCTGTGTGTGTGTGTGTGTGTGTGTGTGTGTGTGTGTGTGTGTGTGTGTGTGTGTGTGTGTGTGTGTGTGTGTGTGTGTGTGTGTGTGTGTGTGTGTGTGTGTGGGTGTGTGTGTGTGTGTGTGGGTGTGTGGGTGTAGGTGTGTGTGTGTATGTGTGTGTGTGTGTGTGTGTGCGTGCGTGCGTGCGAGTGTGTGTGTGTGTGTGTGTTGAATGGCCCTTTTCACCTTCCTCCTCTTGATCTCAGGTTCAGAGGGCTGGCTGGCACAGCCGGTGCTGCAGGCCTCCTGCTCCAGCAGCTTGATATATGCCTCCTGGCAGGCTGTAAAGAAAGAGAATGAGGGGCCCATTTGTGCAGAATAACAAAACAAAGAACTAAAAAGCAAAGGAAGAGGTGGAAATGCAGCTGGAGCAATGGAAAACAAATTTTAAGAGATTTAAATTAAGTGACAGGCTGTAGAATAAAGACTGAAAGGTGAAACTGCAGCTTCTGAACCTCTGCAAAGACAATTCACTCCACATGTTATTATTAAAAATATGGTTCTTGTTGTCTGGATGGCAAATCACATCATTGATTTTCAATATGGCAGTTCAAACAAGGAGAATAGTCTCTGACATGAAGGAAATGCCCACTGGACCTGGCAGCATCCTGTAAACGCTGCATTATTTACTACAAGAGGTGTTGCGGAGCTCCAGATGAACTGATTCAGATGTTGTCCAAAGTTGTTTTTCAATCTTTGAACATAAAGAACATCTTCAACAAGTAAAAGGATGCATCGTTGGGTTAATGTGACTGAAAGTTCATGAAAACACTAGAAATTAGTCTTCTTTAAATCCAAACTCTAACTAACTCATTCCAACCCAGACTCACCTCCCTGACATTCCTCCCTGCTGGTGTTGAAGCCGGCGTTGCCATTGACAAACTGGCAGATGGAGTAGAGACGACAGCCGCGGTGACAGGCATTCATTATGGAGTCCTACCAACCAGACAGAGAGAAGATAACAGAGAGAGTACAAAATTAGATATGTCTCTGGTATTCTTGGACAAACAGCACATGTGCCTGTTTGGAAATATGACACAGATGGGCTATGGCATTTCTTAATGACATGGTGCAAATGTCATATTATGGGCTGTCATAGACAGTTTATAGTAGGCTGTCTGACAGGGGAGGGGGTAAAAACGTGATAATGAGCGCGTTGTTTTAAACTTGAGTTGGGTAATACGGTGGGAGGAAAGGAAGATGCACATTACTGCATCACTTTATGCTTCAGTTTGCTAAACAAAAGCGAGAGAACAGCACCCTCTAGTGGCCTTAGTGAGAACTGGACAGACAAAGACTCTTTGACCATGGATGGTGATTTTGCAGCTTAATCGGCATCTTCACAGGATGCAGAAATTGCATTTGTGTATTTCACTCCACAAAGTAACGGTATACTAGGTAGGAATATTAAGTTAGAGCTGCATGACAAACACAAAATTACACCAATGCGGAGGGCTGAGATCCGCTTTGCAGGTTTGCTCCTGCTGCCTTGCAGGATGTCTGAACCACACCTGAAGGCAGCGAGGGGGTGGGGGGGTGGGGTCCGAGACTACAAATCTAAGTAGCCTCTAAATCAATGCAAGTCAGAGTCCTCACCCACCCACCATCATACATCTGTCCAGTCTGGCCTTGTCTGCACAGGGAAATGTCTGTTTCCGCCTCCGCAATGTTTTATCATTTTTACTCTGGTTTTTCTGCAGATTGAGATTTAGTCAGTGTTTAGCCCTTACATGATCTCGCCTCTTGGAGGAACCTTCACCAAAAACGAGCTGCATCCTTTCGGCCTAATGCACCGTGTCCAAAAGGACGCAGCAAAAATCGAAGCGGAGACACATCACGCACGGAGATATCTTTGATTATCCTCATTTTCGTCAATTAAAAGCGGATAAAATTCTGCAGATTTATTTTTATATGTGTGCATACAGAAACGGGATGCAGCCGCTTCACAGCGTTTTCCCGCAGACAGCCATAAAATCCCCTCCAGCATTACCCAGGAGTAACTTACTTTAGCGGGGCTTTTGTTTTGTATGGTGAGCTGGCATTGCTTTTTGCAGTAATTGATATCCCCCAGCTGGTTGTCAAACAGATCCGAAGACGCGGTCGCGAGTCCGGCCAGGAGCACCGACAGCAGGGCGGGGAACAAGCCGCGCATGGTGCCGCAGACCCGGAGCATGAGAGCCTGCAGGGAGGAGCGGAGAGCCGAGCTTCAACCTTCGCTGTGCTCCTTTTGTGGCGTTTCTGCTGCTGATGCTGCTGCTCGGGTCCTGTCTGTCCACTGCGCTTCCGATCCGATCCTGCTCGTGGCGTCACGCGCATCATCGGCAGCACGCACGCGCGGTCTCTTCTCCAAACTCCGTCTGCAGAGCGTCTCCGCAGTGCCTAATGTGGCTCCGATGACTTTCACTAACCTGGAGGAGATGGTTGAGAAAGGAGGCATGCGACAGCTGGGCCTTTATTTCTGCTCTGACATCTCATCAGTTATTAATATTACAATTATCAGAAGATTTAAGGACGCTGCTAACCTCAGTCAATTTTAAAATGACTGAAAGTCAGAAAGTGCCATGTTGTTATTTTTTAAAGTACAAATAAAAATTAAAATCTGCTTTTGAAAATTAAACTAAATGTTTCTTTTAAAATGTAAATATTAGAATTACATATAGTTCAATCTGAATATTTAGAATTAAGTCCAACTACATATATTTACAACCAAATGTAACCCTGTAGCCTAAAGTTAGACCTAATATTAAAAAAATGGAATAAAATCTAAATACGTGAATTTATATTTCAAATAAAGTTTTATATAGCCCACATAATTAAATTCTGATCTAAACTTTAAATGTTAAATTTAATCTGATTCAAATCTAACATTTTAAAGAAGATGATTGGGGTCACTGAAAAAAAAGAAGTCTCATGCTTTTCTTTTCTTCAGTAAAATATGTAAAGTCCATCCTAGATACTAGAATGAAATCCAGATCAAAAGAAAATCTCAGCTAAATGTAAACTAAGTTGCATCTGAAAGTTATCTGATTTCTTACACTCAGCTATAAGTGTTGTGGTTTCAGAAAATCGTTCTTCATCAAGAGTTTTTATACCACATAAAAAAAAAAAATATATATATATATATATATATATATATATATATATATATACATAATTTCATTTCTGTTATTGTCTTGTTTAGTTGAATTCTGTCATTTAATCTTTGTTTTGAACCTGAGTACATCCATGCAGCATGTGTGTGTTACATGTGCAGAATCCTGTATGGAAGGGAAACATTTAAAAGTTAGAAATTTCTGTAAGATCAAGTCTGATTTTCTTCTTCCCAAATAATAAGTTCGGTTTCTGTTTTAAATCCCTTTGGGTGGCAGGCCAACCAATTAGAACACATCTAGGTTTAGATTTGACCTAAAACATAATAAAATTGTTAAATGGCTCAAAAACACATCTAATTAAACTAATGAGGCTCTCGTGGTGATTCAGTCACCCAGTGAGATGATTTTGCTGGAAAATGTGCATCTTAATTAGTGCTTGATTTAATGAGGAAGTCAGGTGTTTTCATTCAGGACGTAGATCAACAGGCGTGTGTGTGTGCGTGCGTGCGTGTGCGCGCGTGTGTGTGTGTGCGTGCGTGCGTGCGTGCGTGTGTGTGTGTGTGTGTGTGTGTGTGTGTGTGTGTGTGTGTGTGTGTGTGTGTGTGTGTGTGTGTGTGTGTGTGTGTGTGTGTGCAACTATCAGAAATAAAGGGCATTTCTTTGGGTGTTTAAGAGCCATTGATCTGAACACGTTATTTCTTTCATGGCTCCAGCAACGCTGAAAGGCGGTGACCTTTCTCAAGCCACTGGTGGGTGTCCAACATCTTTCAGTTCTGGTAGCAAAGCACACATTCATTGTTCCATGCAAATGACAGGAAACTGACCTTTGAACTGAATCTTTATGAAGTCGTGGATAAAGAGAGACAGTTTAATCTGTTTTGATGTGCGGCTGCCTGCCATCGCATCTGTTTGCAGCTTTTTCATGACATGCAACTTCTGCCCTGCAGTTTTCATCAGATAATTTTCCTTCACGCATAAAGAACACAAAATAACATTTTTCCCACTAATTGGTTCAAATAATTTGTCTCAAAGATGTTTTTATGAATCTTTAACCTAATTTATATAAAAGTTTTTCAAGAAGTCCCAAATAGAGTGCTTCATCTGCAGAAGAGAGAAACTTTGCAGCAAAGTGCCCATTGTGTGGTGGATGTGTGTTTCTGTATCGGGGAGGGGTCAAGCTAAGGAACACGAAGGATCTGAGTCAGAGTGGGAAAGCAAGGGAGAAGCAAACAGGCAGAACCAGAGAGTTGCTGCTGGAGACCTTCCTCAGCTGGTCGACTCCGTCTCAGGAGGAACTTTACCGCCTTTTATGAAACTTTGAAAGAGAACCAGATCACAAACTATGATCACCTTCGTGCTTTTGCTGCTCCTTGTTCCAGATGTGCTGCTCTCTATGAGGCGTGAGTAAACCACCATTCGACTCCATTTGTTTTTGCATAATTTGAAGAAGATGGGATGTATTCAGTTATTGAAACTATATCAGACAAGTTTCTGCTTCAAAGAAACTAAATGTTGATATTTTTGCTGTTAATGCCTTAAATGTGTGTAAAACTGGGACTAGCTGGTGGCATTGTTGGTAGCTACATGAAGGTTGCAGGATCAAATCCTGGCTCCCTTCATGCATGTGTGGATTCTTCCCGGGAGCTCCAGTTTCCTCCCACAGACGTACGCATCTATTATGCATTTGTATTATTCATCTATAATGTTAACATATTACAAAACGCCACACAAATGTTTACTGAATGTTAATATCGTTATAAATTGAGAGGGAGTAGGACGAAGCAAAGAAGGTTAATTGAAGACGTCAGATTGTCCCTGTAGGTGAATGATGGCATTGGACACCAGCTCCCTGTGACCCTAGTGAGGCAAAAGCTGTTCAGTGAGTGAGTGACCAATTAATTTATTCTACTGTATGTACACTTTCAATGTTATAATGAATTAGTTGTAAACTTAGATCCATCCATCAATTCGTTGTTCTGCTTATTCGGAGTGGAGTCACCGTGGCAGCGGCCTAAGCAGACCCTGACTTCCCTCTTTCCAGCTCCTCTGGGGGAATCCCAAGGTGTTCCCTGGATAGCCAAGAGACTAATGTCCCTCCAGCATTTCCTTGGCCTTCCTTTAGGTCTTCTCCCGGTTAGGTGGAACCTCACCAGCGAGGCATCCTAACTAGATGCCCGAGTCATCTCAGCTGGTTAAACTTAGAAGTCATAGTAAAATGGTAAATGGCTTGTATTTGATATAGCGCCTTCTAGAGGCCTAGAACCCCCCAAAGTGCTTTACATCACTTTACATTCAGCCACGCACACACACATTCACACCCCGGTGATGATGAGCTACAATGTAGCCACAGCTGCCCCGGGGAGCACCGACAGAAGCCAGGCGGCTGTACACTGGCACCACCGGTCCCTCCAAACACCACCAGGAGGCTATATGTGGTTAAGTGTCTTGCCCAAGGACACAACAACAGTGACATACTGAGCAGGGCTGGAACCTGCAACCTTCCACGTGGCGCATACTACTCTTCTGCCATTAACTAAAAATATCTATGTGAATGATTTCTAATTGACATTATAAAGATATTTTTTGCTGATACATGCATAAACTGCATCAGGAAATCATAACGCAGTTCTGTGATAATCCCTTTTTGTTGCCAATTTTGCAAGTCTTACTCAAAGTCTTACTCAATTTTATAAAGCATTAAGGAAACATTTGAAATTCCTGTAATTTACCGTCTATCAAAGTCCAGCTGTGTCATTTCCTTAGAAATAAACACAGATCCTGCAGATTAGAGTCCTTTTGTCCCTGTTAGAGGAGACTGGGGGAAAAAACTATAAGCAGTTGAAACAGTGTCCATCGGTGCTTTTGCGAAATAAATACATGATCTATTTATATTTTATGTTTTTGTAGTCAAAATTTGCAGTTGCTTCCAGGTCTGCAGAGGTTGTAAAAACGTTAGTGACAGGAGAGGATTATTACCTGCCTCCCAGCAGCATTGTTGCTAAAATCCCACACGTTAACCTTCATGTCTGTGTGAAAGCAGACCCTACTGCAGGCAAAGACTTACACATGAGCATCCATCACAGGGCAGACCTCACGTCGGTAGATGAGTCGAGGTGTGGAGGAAACATTCAAGGATTTTACTGATAAATCAGAGTGACCTTTCAACAGTCTGCCTTTCTCAGTGGCCTAGTGGTAGAGTGTCCGCCCTGAGACTGGGAGATCAGGGGTTCGATTCCTGGTCGGGTCATACCAAAGACTTTGAAAAAATGGGACCCAATGCCTCCCTGCTTGACACTCAGCATTAAGGGGTTGGATTGGGGGGTTAAACCACCAAATAGTTCCCGAGCGCGGCTGTGTCTGCAGCTCACCGCTCCCCCAGGGGATGGGTCAAATGCGGAGAACAAATTTCGCACACACACCTGTGTGTGTGACACCTAACGGGACTTTAACTTAACTTAAATCTCCGTCTCTTGAAATCTGTAGAGGTCTTCAAAAAACATCTTAAAACTCACCTTTTCATCCAGGCTTTCCCCCGCTAAATATTCTAAAAGATGGCTTTGCTCTTGTTCACACCTTGACTTTGTTTTTACTCCTGATTTTGGTTACTATTGTTGTCACTGCTATTGTTTTTATGATGTTTTTATTGGTTTGAGGTATTTGCCCTGATTTTACTCATGTTGTACGGCGCTTTGTGATTTATATCTGCGAAAGGCGCAACATAAATAAACTTTACTTACTACTTACTACTACTACCTTTCAGGGACGCTCCCTACGTGCTGAGCTGCAGCTTTGTTGTGTTGCTGAGAGGCTGGAGTTTGGATTTCTTCTTCAGATTTCTAAACAGAAATTATGCAGTATAAACAGAAATTTATTTGTATACTCTACAAAGATAGAGTATACAAATAAATGATTGCAACATCTGAGGATTAACTTCTTCATTGAGCTGAATAAACAGATTAAAAGTCAGATCAAATCATCAAGAACACACATTATAGTCACCCTAACCCTTGATTAACCCTTTTGCAGAAGAAAATAAGTGAACGAAAGCCTGTTCATGCAGAAATCCTCATTCGAATAATTTGTTGTGTGTAGACGTTGCAGTCATCTCCCCACAGGATTCAGTTCTGCATGTTGGGTCCAGTTTGACAGCCACATGCACGCTCAGCCCTGAACTCGGCCTTCACTCCCGCTCGTTGCTTTGGACCCTAAACGGGGCGCGTCTGTCCAGCAGCACCTACAGGATTCTGGCCTCCAACGTCCTGAGCGTGACTCTGCACAGCCTCAACGGCTCCCGGCAGCAGTCAGGGGACAACCTGATGTGTCTCTCAGCGGACGGACGCGTCCTTGCTGGATCCTGCCTCTATGTGGGCGGTGAGTGGAAGTTTAAGCTGTGGTTGGCATGGTTTAAGTTTTATGGCTCGTGCGGGTTGGTGAAAGGATAAGGGATTGAACGGCTAAGTGAAAACTAGGTTTCAGGTGTGCTAGCCATCATTAATAAATCCAGTCTGCAGTTAGATATAAAAGTTAGGTTTGTTTCCACACCCAGGTTTATAAAAATAAGAAAGAAAATATCTGTGAGTAAATTTTTGACCTGATTTTTGGAGCTGAAGTTTTAATTTTCAGAAAGATAAATTCTATAAAAGTGCTTTTGTCTTGGGGTAAGATTGTCTGAATGCCTGGTTTAAACGTCCTGTATCTGTACAATGTCTTCTTAGGGTTCTACAACCCCCCAAGGCACTTCACAACACAATCAGTCATTCACCCATTCACACGCTGATGATGATGAGCTATTCAATTCAATTCAATTCAAGTTTATTTATATAGCGCCAAATCACGACAAGAGTCGTCTCAAGGCACTTCACATAATAAACATTCCAATTCACAGTTCATTAAGCCAATCAGGATTAATGTGTCCTATATAAGGAACCCAGCAAATTGCATCAAGTCACTGACTAGTGTCAGTGACTATACAGCAATCCTCATACTAAGCAAGCATGCAGCGACAGTGGAGAGGAAAACTCCCTTTTAACAGGAAGAAACCTCCAGAGAATCCTAGCTTGGTATAAACAGCCATCCTCCACGACTCACTGGGGATCGAGAAGACAGAGCACACACACACACACACACACACACACACACACACACACACACACACACACACACACACACACACACACACACACACACACACACACACACACACACAGCTACCAGGTACAGCTGCCCTGGGGCGCACTGACAAAGGCGAGGCCTGGTGAGCCCAGGCCCCGCCGGTCCTTCCGACCACCACCAGCAGGCAGACAGGGTGGGTTAGGTGTCTTGCCCAAGGACACAACCGCAGCATTCTCTGATTGGAGCCGGGATCAAACCTGCAACCTTCCGATTACTGGACAACCCGCTCTGCCTCCTGAGCTACTGCTGTCCTCACCATCATGTCTCCCCGCTCCAGAGCGATCCTTTTGTGTATAAAACCTCTTTTGGTTATGTAGCCACAGTTCATTCATTTAAATCTGAAAATCTCATCCCTAAATGTTGATTTCCTTTGCTTTTGCACAATGAAGAGCTGTTTAGGAATGATTTAATGCCAGATTTGGCCTAACTTAAACCCTTCTCATATCAAAATAATAACCAGAAAAGCTAATGACCTGAAGCAAAATGCAGATGTTGGCTCTTCAGCTCATTCTACTAATGGAGGACGAAGTTAACTTGTTTTTGTTTCATTTACTGATGAATACAACTTTCTGAAAACACTTTGCTACCACCTTAAAAACTGATGAAGCAGAAAATATGGTCATTTATTGGCTAAAATCTTCACTACTTCTAATAATTGCTGTTTGCTGAAAAAGGACAAGGATGTCTTCAGAGAAACGGCTCCGCACAACGCAACTTTTTCACTTTCATGACCTTTCCTTCATTTTGGGTCAGACTGAACTGTACAAAATGATTAGAGTGTGTTATTGTGGTTTGAAATGATGAAAACTACACTTTTAACTTTCTCATCCATTGTCAGAAACTGTAGCAGAAATGTTGTCTGCACTGTTAGATTCTAAAATAAGAAACATTTGGGACATCTTAACAAAATTATCCAAATCTGAAGGCAAATGTTGAAAATTTGATCTTCTCAGTAGATAAATATGAATCGAATTCTCACCATAGTGTCTACCCTGTTTTATCTGAATGCACCAGTTCCTCCAGAGAAACCAGTCAATTTGACATGTTGGTCCCACAACACCAAGGACTTGACCTGCAAATGGAACCAGGGTGGGCGGGCAGAAACCCACATCCAAACCAAATACACCCTGAAGTACAAACTGAGGTGAGTGCCCCCAGACCTGACGCAGGACAGAGAATTCTGCTGTTGTGTCCTTGGGCAAGACACTTAACCCATCTTGCCTGCTGGTGGTGGTCGGAGGGACTGGTGGCGCCAGTGCTCGGCAGCCTCGCCTCTGTCAGTGCGCCCCAGGGCAGCTGTGGCTACATCATAGCTCATCACCACCAGTGTGTGAATGGATGAATGATGCACCGTAGTGTAAAGCACTTTGGAGTCCTTACTCTGAGAGGCGCTATACAAGTGCGGGTCATTTATCATTTATCTGGTCCAACATTCCTCCAGAAGTCGGACTGATCTGAGTAGCTTCATCCAGAGCTGCTCTCAGGCTCCAGGAGGCTGTGTAACTAAAGTCATCTGACTTTTTGTCTCTGTGTTCAGGTGGCACGAGAGAGAGAATGAGTGTGACCATTATAGCTCAGAGAAGCAGGATCACTTCTGCTACATCTCAGAAAACATCGCCCTCTTCACTCCGTATCAGATCTGGGTGGAGGCGACCAATCAGCTGGGCTCGGCCACCTCTGACATCATCTCCTTGGACATCCTTGACGTCGGTATGGCAACACTCAGATTTGCTGTTAAATCTGGTTCAGATCCCGGATATCAAGAAATAATCAGTCAAAATATGAATCAACCTACAGCCATAGTTTAATCAGGGGAGTGGGAATTCCCCACCGTACTTGTGCTCCCTTGTTTATAATAAATAAATTAATTAAAAAATACAGTTGAACAGAGTTGTTGAAGGTTAAACAGTCGTCTTTAAATTGTCCTAAAAAAATAACATATTGCATGAAATTAAAAACCATGAAATATTACTAGATAAAGTATGTTAAAGGTGTGGTTGACTGGGAAAATATTTTTAACTCATTCACTGCCATTGACAACAAAAGTCATCATTTAAATCCACCCATTCACTGCCATTTGCATTTTTTTTACTGTGTGGGCATCGAAATGAGCCCCTACACCGTGAGAACAAACATCCCAGCTCTAAAGCTGATCTTCATCCACATACGTCACAAGTCACGTGATCAGGAAGCAGAAAATCCATGAGTTAGGAGATCGTTTTTGTAAAAACAAGTCAGGCGTGAATCGGAAAAGCTTCTGCTGATCACAATTCCACAATGAATTATGAAAGAACGAATAACGCTCGAAGCATTCCTGATGCAAGGGTTGTTTTGGTAGTTTTGGTAGTTTTGCCGTTGTCATCATCCTCGCAACATTCTGAGACTCTTAAAAAATAGTAAAAACGCTGGCAGGGAAGGGTCTGATCAGGAAACGGCTGGCAGTGAATGAGTTAATCTTATTTCTGATTATAATCGTTCTCTTTGAGTTTTTCATGCAGGCAGAACATGAAAATAGTCCCGTACACCTATCTCCTGCCTTAGCCTTTGATGGAAAACAGACGGTGAACTGTAGGAATTCAAAATCCTGACAGATCTACATCACACTGTCATTGAACAGCCATGGACTCACCCATCTTGACTCATGATGGGGAAGGCTGTTGTTGGTTTAGCATCAGCAGAGAACGTCTCAGCTAGTAAAAGCTAAACATTAGCATTAGCAATTCCACCACACAGCAGAACTCCTCCAGGCTTGTGTTATTTGTTGAGCTAAAAACATCAACGTTGCAAAGCAAAATGAGTCAGCGGTAGAGTCGTGTTGCTGTTATCCAATCAGAGATGAGATCTCTAAATATCAGTAAATAAGACTCCAAAACCTGCCGTCTGAAGCTCAACTGTGATGTAGCTCAATTCTTGTTCCTGAAGATGGTGCATCTGTATGTTTTGCCCGCGAGTACAACTTACAAGGCATTCGTTCCTACTAGAGACCACTCACTGTAGATGTACTGATTAAATCAGTTAACCTCACCTTTAAAAGGAAAATTGAGATAAATGGAAGAAAATTAGATTCTGCATCATTCTGGGTGGTTTCAAAACTAATACTGATCAAAAAGAGAACAAAAAAATATTCTTCTGTTGTTTAGTTGCTGTTGATTGTCAGATCCAACATGTTCAAAATAATTAAATTAGAACAAATAACTTAAAAATACATACTAAAATCAAAAATTATTTGGACATGAGCTAAAAACAGGTCATAGCCTCCATTTCTTAATGCTTTGGATTTTTTTTACCTTAACAGGCAAAATCTCATTGAGAAATAAATTAGAATTTTCAAAAGAGACATTTTTACAACAAAATATAAAATTATTAAAAAGTTACACTAAACACAACATCAGGAGTGCATAAGAAGGTAAAGTGTTTAAAATGTGTAAGATCATTAATATTTACAAAGCCGGGACAGAAACGGGAACTTACTGACATTTTATTATTATTATTTATTTTTTATTTTTATTTTTTCTGAGCTGCATTTTAAATCCCTCCAGAGGAATCAGATCAGAACATTGAAGCTTTGTTTTTGTTACAAACCTCCCTACCACATTATAAAAGCTTTTTATTAGCAATCGTTCCTCCACCTGGAGGTTACCAGTGTTCAGCAGGATCCGGAACATACAGGAATATTCAATCCGAGTCTGTTGCACATCTTCTGGGAATGTGATGTCAGACATTTACAAACAGGAGAGGATTTTACAACTGAATACTTTTGTTAATCAGTTCCTTGTTTAACTTTGGTGTTGAATCGCCTAAATCTCTTCTCCATGTTCCTCTTTAAAGCATCTCAGTGACTGCTGCAGAGGAAAGATGTTTTATTTGATCATTTCTGAGGAACAACCTGCTCTCACAGGAAATGATCTGAACTACAGTCTGCAGCCACCTGAACAGCAGAGAAAGATCTGCAAAACCGCAACGTCGTGATACAGTTTTACTGCACTGAAGAGTAAATAAAAAGGTTTTTAATTTTAAAAGTGTGTTATAGTGCTTCAGTCAATCCAAAGTCTCTATAAAGATTAAAATTTTCCTCATAAAAGATGAAGATTTTAACATTTTCTTTAATGGTTTCAGCAAACTTTTTTTTTCAATCTGTGGGCAAAAAAAGGACTGAATAACTTCTAGATTGTGTCAAATTTTATTTATTATAATATCCAGAGATGTTTTTCTTAACTTAAGCTGGGAGAAAATAACAGGTTTCTGCAGGAAATCTTGTTTATAATCAGCCAGGTTTATTTATTTAGTTTTTTATTTAAAGAGAAAATAATATGTATTTGTTTTCTGATCTGTTAATTTTAGTCTATCTTGGGTTTCATCTGTCTATGGCCGACACCCAGATGTTCTGTTGTGTGCTATTAGTGCTGTGTGTAATCATTTTGTTGGTTTTACTGTGCAGTGACAACGGACCCTCCTGCCAACGTGCACGTGAGTCGAGTCGGTGACCTGGAGGATCAGCTGACGGTCCGCTGGACCAGCCTCCCCGAGTTAAGGGACATAATGTTTCAGGCCAAATACCAGATCCGTTACAGACTGGAGGACAGCTCAGACTGGAAGGTGAAAAATACAAACACACACAAACACGTACATCCATACAATAACACATACACACACATAAACACACACCCATTCAATGATGACACACACATATTCCCATACAATTACACATATACCTCTTGAACCAAGCAAGTAGGGGGGTTAACATTGTGTGGAGCAGCTAAATGTCCCCACATTGTGGAAATGTCCACATGTTACAGGTTAAAGTCAAAATGTGTCCACTTAAGCATATAAAGACAAGCACACACACACACACACACACACACACACACACACACACACACACACACACAACATTTATAGCAGATAAGTGTTTAAGCCTGGCTTTGATCCCACACCACAGCTTTTTAAAACTGTTCTTTGGTCAAAACGCCTCTTTGATGTTTTCAAGACAAAGCATCTTGTTATTCCTAGGGCGCAAATAAAAAGGCTGGAAAGTCTCTGATAAACCGGAGAATTGTTAACGAAACTGTATCTCAAAAAATTTTAAAAAATAATAATAAAAAAATTTAGATATACTTATTTATGAAAGCATTCATAAAGAATTGTGAGGAAGTCTTTGGTACTTGTGAGTTACATTTGGACAGGATCCTGAACATTAGTGGTGATTATAGTGACGTTTTTCTGTGTGTAAATGCGTGTTTCAGGTGGTAGATGATGTTGGAAATCTGACATCGTGTCGGCTGGCAGGGCTCAAGCCTGGGACCGTGTATTTTGTTCAGGTGAGATGCAACCCAGTGGGGATCTTTGGCTCCAGGAAACCTGGCATCTGGAGTGACTGGAGCCACCCTGCTGCTGCCTCCACACCCAGCGGTGGTGGTACGCAATGCAACACACGACCAAACATGTTCAGCACTACAAGTGCTCACTAGTCTTAATCGTATGGAACTAGGATTATAATCCGCTTTTATAGTAAATGTTATTATCTTAGTAAAAGTTTGCAAACTAAACCCCAAAGACTGCCGTTTCCATAGATCTCCTGACATTCTACCCAAACATCTGCAATAACCTCAAAAACTGACCGTTTATTCCCTTTTAATAATCAACTTTTCATTGTCAATTAAAGCCAGAAAAACAAAGTCCCTTAACCCTGATTAAACATCCTGCACGGGGAGATCCAAACCGCATGTGACCCGGAGGAAACCAAACATCTGTTGGCTCGATATTCCAAGATACAGATCTCCAAGCAGAGGATTAGAGGGGACTGCAAAGAGCTGGGGGGACGTTTGATATTTTTTCTTTTTTTGTCGTCCGTTTCAAAGATTGATCAAGTTAAAAAGCTGGTTGTCAGTCTGCGGCGCACACGGCTCATAAAGCTTGAGTGGAAGCAGGTTTGGGGGGCAGACAATGAGTTACATAGGTTATGCAGCATTTACTGCCCAGAAGAGAGGAAGTCGTTATCGGGCTCTGTCGTTTGCCATAAAGAATTGATTGTGGCAGACAACTTTCTCTCTCAGGGAGCCAAATGTTCATTTGAAACCGTAGCTCAGCTCGCTTCAGGATCAAACATTATAAATAAACTGGTGACCCCAGAGTTTGTGATAAGCTGAAAGCTCAGATCTTTTCATCACCCTCTCCTTGTTCTGCTCCCCCCACCTATTCCACCATCCTCAGGATCCACTGATTTCCCTCTTTCCTATTCACTCTCTCTATTTCTTTACATTTTTTATCACAATTGTCTATTTTTTGCTCATTTTAAATATATTTTTATTCATTTTCTAAATTCTTTTTTATATTTTTACATTTTTTTTGTTTTTGTGAAGCGCCTTGTGATTTTTATCTTGAGAGGCGCTTTAGGAAAGATTTTTTCTTCTTCTTTTGTCCAAGAGTCCAAAAGAGAAGTTTAGTCTCCATGTGATGGCTGAAACACTTCGTTTAGCAGGCTGGGGCAAAAAGGTACTTGGCAGCCACTGATTGTGCAAACTGTCCAACTTAAAAAGAGGAGAATGAAAGCATGTTTAAAAAAAAAGAAAATCACATTGTATGATCTTTAAAGAATTTAATTGTTTAATGGTGCAGAAAATAAGTATTTAGCACCTGTTAGTTAACCAAATACACACAGCAAAGTTCACAGGTGACTAATATTACAATAATAAGACAAGGGATCAAGTCTATTTGGAGGAGACAAGCGGACCTGAGCCTTATTGTTTTGAGCTTGTGAGTTGCCGGAAACCACCGGAGCCGACCCAACAGAACCAGCTCTGAATGGTAGGTAGCCGTTAGCCATAGCATTAGATTAGCTGCAGGGTTCGGCCCCATGGCCCTAGAGAGCTGTTATCCAACATGTTTTAGAGGTTTATCTGCTTCAACACACCTGGTTTTAATCAGCAGCAGATTGCTGAGCTGCTGAACAGCTAATCTAACATGTTGAAGCAGGAAAACCACTGAAATATGTTGGATAGCAGCTTTCTAGGACACGGCCACATACCCTGGGCTAAAGTTACTGTCTGCTGCAGAGAAAATTATTCTGTAATGTGTTCATTTATGTTACACAATCGCAAATATCCCTCTAAAATTGCCCTGATTTAATTATTTACTGACACCAGCTGTTCTCTTGGTAGGCGATCCTCTGTCAGCAGCTGGGTCTCCTCTGGTGGTGTCGTCAGGATCAGGAGCTCCCAGAAGATTGTGCCTTTGAATGATTCTTTCCTCCTCTAAACAGTTATTTGTTATATTAATTAAATAAATCTCAATTTATATATTTCCTGTTTTTGTTCATGTCCATAAATATTTAAACACGCTTGAATTTAAAATGAGCTTTTAACAGTGCGGTGCTAATTTAATTCATCACAATAGAGCTAGTTAAACGTGCAAGACAGTGATAATTCAATTAATATACTTTACAAATATCCATTAAAATATAAATACCGAGGTCTGACTCCTTACATGGGACCTTTCACACATTGGTCGAGACAGATTTCAAACTGCTGTTGTAAATTTGTGTAGAATGATTTTGAGCTGGACTGAAGGTTTTTGGCTGAATTTTAAGTTTTTAAAGAAAACGCACCAAAATGCAAAAATAACAACTACACATGTCTACAACACTATAATACACTTATTTATACAAATTATCAGCAAAATAAGTAGATTTTGGTGTGACTTCCTCTTTAATATTTCTTAATTATTATTTCTGATATAAAACTCTACAGTCAAATCAAATCAAATCAAACTTTATTTATATAGCACTTTTCATACATAGGATGCAACACAAAGTGCTTAACAGATTAAAATGACCCATATAGCCCACATTCCCTCACTTTCCCACACTTAAAACAATTGTGACAGTTTCACCCCCAATCCACAAACCATTCCCAGGCGCACACACACACACACACACACACACACACATACACACACACACACACACACACACACACACACACACACACACACACACACTTGTCCACATAACACATTAAAAGACCACAGTAAACACTAGGCTGAGCTCAGATTGGACAGGTAATGAAAGACACGCCATCAAGGGAGCCATCTGCCTCGACAGCAGCAGATCGACGGCAGCAGCCAAGACACCAATCCAGGGCGCCCTGGGAGGGAGGGTGGCAACCCTCACCACTACCTGGGCACTACCCTAGGAGCACCCCAGCTGCCGCCAGTCATTAGATTTCTCCTCTGATGTTCAGAGTTCAATGGTTGTGACACAATGCGTTGCGGGAAACTGCAGTCCCAAGTCCACAGAAAGATGCATGGTTGTATCCTCGATGCAATCGGCGGAGCAAGAACACATCCAGGAACTAGATACTTCTCAGCAGCCTAGTGGTAGAGTGTCTGCCCTAGGACTGGGAAATAGGGTTCAAATCCCGGTCGGGTCATACCAAAGACCTTAACAATGAGACCCAATGCTCACTGCTCAGCTTAACCCCATGTGACCTGAACCTGTATTTGATGTGATTTAAAAGAAAAAAAATATCTAATTACAGAGTAGTCTACTCTCATCAACAGAATTAAAGTTACAAATAATAAAATAATATAAAAATTACATTACGTTAATGAAATATCTGGGTTTTTAATTTAAGATTTTTAAGAGCTTGGATTGTGGGTTTAAACCACCAAATAGTTGTTGAGCACGGCCACAGCTGCAGCTCAGCTCACCGCTCCCCATGGGGATCATGGGTCAAATGTGGAGATGAATTTCACCAGTGTGCGACGAATTAACGGGACTCTAACTTTTTGAGCAAACTTGCCATGATGCATACTTAGGATTGGACAAGTCCTCGGTCCATCGTTGATGACGTTTCACAAGGACGTGAGTACAAAATTCAGATGTAGTACGCATATTGAGAAACAGCCCAGATCTCAATCCAACAGAGAATCTGTCAAGGGAGTTGAAGGTCCGTGTTGCCCAGCAACAGCCCCAAAACATCACAGCTCCAGAGAAGATCTGCATGGAAGAATGGGCTAAAATATCAGTTACAATGGGAGCAAACCTGGTGAAGCCCACCAGGAAATGTTTGACCTCTGTCATTACAAACCATGGTTACAAGACAAAGTATTGGGGTAAACATTTGTTCTCAACTAAACACTTATTGTTTGCACCATTATTCAAAGTTAAGTCTTTAAATTATAAAGAAACCTAAATGACAGACCTCATCTTTTTGGTTGGAACTACTTGAGCAAATATTTTTTTGCCCCACCGCACCTCCCAAACAAGCTTTAAAAAGACGGTGAGACTCATCCTAACATCACTAGCCTGAGTAAAACCTGCGCGTCCTCTTGTGTCCAAACAGTAACCTTGATGTTGCTCTCCCATCGTCCCTTACAGTGGGGCAAAAAAGTATTTAGTCAGCCACCGATTGTGCAAGTTCTCCCACTTAAAATGATGACAGAGGTCAGTAATTTACATCATAGGTACACTTCAACTGTGAGAGACAGAATGTGAAAAAAAATCCATGAATTCACATGGCAGGATTTTTAAAGAATTTATTTGTAAATCAGGGTGGAAAATAAGTATTTGGTCACTTCAAACAAGGAAAATCTCTGGCTCTCACAGACCTGTAACGTCTTCTTTAAGAAGCTTTTCTGTGCTCCACTCGTTACCTGTATTAATGGCACCTGTTTGAACTCATTATCTGTATAAAAGACACCTGTCCACAGCCTCAAACAGTCAGACTCCAAACTCCACTATGGCCAAGACCAAAGAGCTTTCGAAGGACACCAAGAAAAGAATTGTAGACCTGCACCAGACTGGGAAGAGGGAATCTACAATAGGCAAGCAGCTTGGTGTGAAAAAATCAACTGTGGGAGCAATTATCAGAAAATGGAAGACATACAAGACCACTGATAATCTCCCTCGATCTGGGGCTCCACACAAGATCTCATCCCGTGGGGTCAAAATGATCATGAGAACGGTGAGCAAGAATCCCAGAACCACACGGGAGGACCTGGTGAATGGCCTGCAGAGAGCTGGGACCACAGTAACAAAGGTCACCATCAGTAACACACTACAACGACAGGGAATCAAATCCTGCAGTGCCAGACGTGTTCCGCTGCTGAAGCCAGTGCATGTCCAGGCCCGTCTGAAGTTTGCCAGAGAGCACATGGATGATACAGCAGAGGATTGGGAGAATGTCATGTGGTCAGATGAAACCAAAGTAGAACTTTTTGGTATAAACTCAACTCGTCGTGTTTGGAGGAAGAAGAATACTGAGTTGCATCCCAAGAACACCATACCTACTGTGAAGCATGGGGGTGGGAACATCATGCTTTGGGGCTGTTTTTCTGCTAAGGGGACAGGACGACTGATCCGTGTTAAGGACAGAATGAATGGGGCCATGTATCGTGAGATTCTGAGCCAAAACCTCCTTCCATCAGTGAGAGCTTTGAAGATGAAACGTGGCTGGGTCTTCCAACACGACAATGATCCCAAACACGCCGCCCGGGCAACAAAGGAGTGGCTCCGTAAGAAGCATTTGAAAGTCCTGGAGTGGCCTAGCCAGTCTCCAGACCTCAACCCCATAGAAAATCTGTGGAGGGAGTTGAAAGTCCGTGTTGCTCGACAGCCCCAAAACATCACTGCTCTCGAGAAGATCTGCATGGAGGAATGGGCCAAAATACCAGCTACTGTGTGTGCAAACCTGGTAAAGACCTATAGTAATCGTTTGACCTCTGTTATTGTCAACAAAGGTTATGTTCCAAAGTATTGAGTTGATTTTTTGTTATTGACCAAATACTTATTTTCCACCCTGATTTACAAATAAATTCTTTAAAAATCCTGCCATGTGAATTCATGGATTTTTTTTCACATTCTGTCTCTCACACAATCGGTGGCTGACTAAATACTTTTTTGCCCCACTGTATTTTTTGCCCCACCGCACCTCCCAAACAAGCTTTAAAAAGACGGTGAGACTCATCCTAACATCACTAGCCTGAGTAAAGCCTGTGCGTCCTCTTGTGTCCAAACAGTAACCTTGATGTTGCTCTCCCGTCATCCCTTATCTCTGCCTTCTCCGCTCTCCTTCAGATCTGCTGCAAAGAGGCTCCTGTGATCTCAAACCCAGCCAGCAGAACTCCACCCTGCGGAGAGAACTCAAGCAGTTCTTCAGGTGGCTCCGGAAGCATGCATACAGCTGCAGCGGCATGTCCATCAAACTGTACGATCAGTGGAGAGTGTTGCTGCAGAAATCACACAAATCACGCATCCGGGTGGGCAAGCAGCTTGAGGAGTTTCTCAGAGTCCAGGGCTGAATTTCTGACCCTGCCTTTGTTTTGACATATCGTCAGCATTTCGTATTTTCCAAGCAAAAAGAGGAAACATTTCCCTTAAACTGGCTCTCTGGAGATTCAGTCTGTACTTTTATGATCAGGTAAAAATGTGCGGTTTAGACTAAAAGATGTGGGAGAGGGCATGCTCTTTGTCAAGCGGTCTGATTACGTTTCATATTTTTAATGAGCAGACTTGGGGGTCTTCATTTGACGACCACAGCAAAAGAGGAATAAACTTGTAAAATATAATTAACAGTGCTCCTTTTGTTTCCTCTTGGCACGGAGGTCTCTCTTTCCCAAAAATAACTCGAGCCAAATGCAAGACGAGGCTTCAGATTGTTTGTGTGTGAAGTTCAGACCCCTCAGACCTCGAACCCACACAGACCTTCCATCCACCCGACTCGATTACTCCAGCAGGCTGTTTTACAGAACATAAGCTCTCGTATGGGCCATTCCCATCTGTACCGGGTCGGCCCGGGCCGGGTAGCCCCAGTCGGCCCCAGCCTGGCCCGGTTGATTCCACACATCCTTGTCTTAAGCCCATGTGGGCTGATTCTACCCACCAATCAGAGCCTTGCTCTGATGGAAGGCGTGAATTTGCTGTCAGCAGTGGGTGTGTTGGCCCTGGTCGGCCTGAAGCAGACCCCCTCGAGAAGAGGGCTGAGAATGAGCCTTGGTTGGCCCGGAAAAATGCCAGTCCACCCAGATATGTAAACAACCTACGCTACCCGGCCCGGGCCAACCCGGTACAGATGGGAATGGCCCTTAACTGCATTACTTGATTATTTCTCCAACACAGCAAAAGAGTGGTTCCACCGCGTTTTTGCTGACGTTTTGGCTAACACTGTAGCCTTCCTCAGAGCTCATCAAGGGGCAGTTAGAAATAACGCAAGTAATGCAATTAGAAATAAATACACAGAATGAACGTGCAAAAGATACAAAGTGTGACAGCTTCATTGATTACCTTAAGAGAATGACATCAGAAGAGAGAGAGGACGAGGAGATGCCAAAAAGGGGCTGAAACCAGACAAGGCAACTTTGGTTTCTAATTTTCTTTTTTTTAATGCTGAAACATTAAGAATCATCTTTTGTCTTTTTCAGATATCACAAAACAATAATTCATAACAGATCATCACTCTGGTGTTCAAATTCAAGACCAGCATCAGGACATGCTGACAGCTGACCCAGAAGGTCCCAGCTTTTGTCTGTCCAGAATGACTCAGATTCAAGGTCAGGGTCATCCTACTGCTGTCAGAGCCGTCCACAGCAAACCGTATTTAGACTACAATGGTTTACTATCACTTGCAGGAATTTTTTGGGTCATTTGAATGATTTTCTTTGAACGTTAAAAATCACTAACATTTTCCTTTGTTGTAGAAAGCTTTGTGAATTAGCTTCTGTTCAGAGAAACTGTTTAATTCCTATAGGATTGATGGGCCAACAGCTAGCTTGTGTGCTGATGCTATCTTAAAACTGATTTAATGGCTAAAACTTTCAGTATTTCATGCTAATTATTTCATAAACACGTAAAACTTTTAAACCACAATCAGCCCTGAAGGACGTAAACTATTTCTGCAGAAGTTGTTTAATATGGTTATGATTTTTGAAACTCCTCCATTAAAACTTGATTTAAACTGAAGTGTCATTAAGTAAATTTCTGATTTTTTTGGTTTGATTTTAAAACCATTTAACAGGTGAGGAATAACGGACCGCGTGGTGACACTGTTACTTTGCAGCAAGGTTGCAGGTCCGAATACCACCTGCAGTCTTTCTGTGTGAAGTCAGCATGTTCTCTCCATGCATACATGTGTATTTTCTTTGGGTGCTGTGGTTTTCTCCCACAGACCACAAACATGCATGTTGGATTAATAGGCAACCCTAAATTGTCCCTAGGTGTGGGTGGGTGTATGAATGGTTGTTTGTCTTGTCCCTGTGATGGACTGGAGACCTGTCCCCTGCCTCTTGACTGCTGGACACCAACTACGCGTGACCCTAGTGAGGAAAAAAAACTTGTCTCCTTAAGTGTTTTTAATTTAGAAAAAAGTCATCCAGTAAATGAAACTTGTACAAATTTACATTATTTTGTGTCTTTTCGTGTACATTTCAAGCAGCAAACCAACATTTCTTTGTTAAACTAAAGAAAATCACTAACAAATGACTGCACATAAAACCACAACAAGCTGGACCACAAGAGACCCTCTGGGCGGAAGCAAACTGCTGCAGAGAGCAGGGTGGAGCCAGCGGGGGATCAATAGGAGCAGATGAAATCACAGCAGGAGGCGTCGCCCCATCACCTCGCTGTCAGTCACACTCTTCTGAATCGTACTTAAAGTCCTGCATGATCTCACTCAGAGCCTCGTTGTTCTTGATGATGCTGACCAAAGAGACAAAAGATTTTTACTTATCCGTCAGAAAAATAACTAAGTTTTAACACGCTATTCTGAGAAAGAGTCTATTTATTGCAACTCATGCCTGCATCAGGTTTATACCAAGTAAATAACTACATCAGCAATGTCCTGAAGCAGACATCAAATAGCTTCTCTTACTGATGCTTGATCTCATGGATTTTGTCTCTGCAGTCTTCATCCTCTGGGTGATCCTGGGCCTGCTGCTTGGCCAGCTGCAGTCTGGCTGTCTGTTCAGAGGAGACTTCAGTTATTAACAAAAAGGACAGAACTGTTGAATAGCATTACTGCTGTATGTTAAGGAGCTTAAAGTAACCTCTGGAGATCAAGTGTATAAAACGTGGACATTCCAGAATGCGAGAAGCTATTAAATACAAGAAAACCACTTCAGACTGAACGTTTTTTTATTCGGTCTACATTGTAATCAGTGGATAAGACTGCTTTAGTTCCCCTCGATTAGCAGTAGGAAATCTAAATTAGAACGGTTTTAGATTCTGGATTATTAACACTGACTAAATGTGCTGTAAACTGGAGAGGAAATCATGCAGAGAAACTCTGCCTCCTTGTGGTTACACAGTGTAATGCATCAGTGTTGCTAGGTTAACATTTATGCTTACTGATGGTGTACGCAAATAAAACAGCCTTCTTTACCAGAACATAAACTTTAAACTGTTTACATGTAAAGTTGTCAGAGATGTCAGTGTGTGAATTCCACCATCCTATCACATCCAGCATGTTGCAGAATCTCACAAACACAATATCTTATGTTATATTCATCTTTTCTCATGCACCGGTCTGGTTAAGAAAAATAAAAGGCCTTCACCTACCAGTTCCAGTTTCTGCTTCTCTTTGCTCTGCAGCTTCTCAATGTGCTCAGAAAGGTCGGGCCTATCAAAGTCTTGATGGAGCCTCTCTTTGATCTCCAGCACTTCCTTGGAAATGCCGCTGAAGGCCTGTGTTATCTCATGCACAAGCTGCTTGTAGTGCTCAAAGTCGTAGTGGGGCGCTGTCCTCAAATAGGCCTCGTGTCCTCTGGAAGACATTTAGCATTCAAAGCAAAAGAAAATTATGTTTGTCCTGCAAATGACTGAGACCTTGAACAGGAGAGTGGGGACATGGAGGACTGTAGTGGAACCAGGCTTTCAAACAGGTCAGCGTCAAATGTAACTAGAAACTGTTCTAACAGTTCTACTCCAGGTAATTCCAAACCATTACCAGGAGAGTGGCTGGAGTTAAATCTCCACATAGGCAACAACAACTTGACTTTAATCTTGGAATGCACCAATATGAAAAGTTGGGCCAATATCCAATATTGATATTGCAGTTATAAACAATTACACACCATCACTCCCTCACCCTTTGAAACAGATAAACAAATGGAAACAAGATGGTTGGTTGTTAATACTGGCCCAGTTTTACTTATCGGACAGATACAGATATGTAAAAAAGAAAACTACTAACATTGATCATACCAATATTGATGCAAATATATTGTGTATCCCCACTTTAATCATTTTAATGGCAAGTACATCCACACTGAGACAGATCTATAGATGTTTAATAATTATCACATTTCTAATGGTCACAAAGACCACAACGAGACCTTTAGAAAATTCCTTTGTCTCTCTGATGGGGAGTTGTAATCTGCAAAAACAAAATTCTTGTATTTTCTGAGAGGGGTTACAATCTGGGTGTGCCAAATAAGAGAATTAAATTAATGTAAACAGCCTAAATTCATTTTCATCTGTCAAATACTGAAAAAACACTGTTTCAATTTCAACCCTGTAATTTTGTTTCTCTAAATAACAAAAAGCTTTTAAGGATTTTGAATTGAACCTGTTGTTTCTCTCCATGCTTTATGTTCAAACTGGTGCAACGATTTCAACATGTGTCTTTGAAGCAGCTGAAACTTACTCTTCAAAGAGTCTGTACGTCTCTAATCGCTCTGACTGAAGATGGTAAAACCTCTGAATCACAGTCTTAAGCTCTGAAGGAACCTTAAAGGGTAAAACACAAAGTTAACACAAAAGCACAAGGGAGTTTTGGGACGTGATAACAGCTTACTCATCTAACTATCTCTAATCAAATGTTATTAAAACAGGAAAAAGTAGCCAGACAAGTAAAAAAATACAATTTTCCTTCTAATTTGCAAACAAAAATGACACAATTAACCAAAATTCTCGATCAAGAACAGCTTCGTTAGCATCAACTTTAGCCTGATGTTAGCTTTGATTAGGTTAGCAAACGTGTCTTAATTATAAACCGGAGTCATACAAAACTAAGACTTAAATAATCTGTTGCTCACCATGGTGTTAAACTGTCTCTAATATCTTAATGTTTAACACACCAGCATGTTCGAGATTTCAGAACCTGCACGTTTGTTGTTATCGTTCTGTGAACGGCAGCCTAACGGGAAATTACGGTCATGCAGCACAGCGGAAATAGGTAACTTTCAAAATAAAATTATGTGTTTAACGAGTTTTCCGTTCCACCTTTCAAGAGACATAAAACGGTTTATGTCTGTGAGATTATATATATACATATTAAGTGATACTAGTAACAATGATTATAGTAATACAAGTGTACAAACTTAGACAAAAAGTGAGAACTATATATATATATATATATATATCACTTTTTGTCTAAGTTTGTACACTTATTTATATTACTATAATCATTGTTACTAGTATCACTTATAATAGTATTATTTTATTTGTTAGGACATTTACAGTTTTTTTTTTTTTTTTTTGCAGACGTTAGGACCCATTTCTCAATACTAATGTCACTTTTGCTAGACACTTCACACAGTTCTCCTAACAGAGTTTCAGCTTGGCAAAGCAGTTCATTTCCCATTCAAAATGCACTACAACCACCAAAACACTTCATTCAGGTCTCGAACACATTCCTCCAGAACACTAGCAAAGGTTGACAGCCAACAAGCACTTTGTCACCACAAAATAAATACAAAAACACTAACATGTAGCATTACATTTTCTTGTGTAAAACAAGGACACATCTCTGTTCATACTTCCAATAGATGTTACTGGAATGAGTCAGACATGATGCAGAATTAGTCAATATTTCATCTTGTTCATTTATTTTTAATGGCATTTGTTTTTGCACTAAGTACTTCCAAAACACAAGACTTTGTAAACACAACATCCACTGATCCAGATTCAATATGCTAATCTACTCTGTCTTCTCCATTTGGCCACAGGTTCTCATCCACATCACATCTTATGTCATCTAGGGCAATACACCTAGGAAAGAATCTTCTGGCATGCCTGATCCATCCCTGGTAATCTACTGCTGATATGTCCAGGCATCCAGCATACAATGCATCCAGAAGGGACATTTGATCATGTAGATGATGGTCGTACACCTTCCACCACCATGAGGCAAAGAATTCCTCTATGGGGTTGAGGAATAGAGAGTAAGGTGGGAGGAAAAGAGACTATTCTGGGATGGGCCACAAACCACTCTGTGACTGCATAGGAGTGGTGAAATGCCACATTGTCCCATACAATTATACATGTTGGCTGATTCCCTCTGTCCACATCCCTTTCCTCACCTAGCACAACCCTTCCATAGAGATCATGCAGGAACGCAAGGAGCCGTCCAGTGTTGTATGGCCCAATTACTGGTCTGTGTGACAGCAGTCCATCAGTAGATATTGCTGCGTACATTGTGATGTTGGCACCCCTCTGGCCCGGGACATTCACTGTGGCTCTCTTCCCAATCACATTCCTCCCTCGTCGCCGTGTTTTGGCCAAGTTGAAACCTGCCTCATCCACATAGATGAAAATGTGGTGCGTTTGCATGCCTTCAATCTCCATGACTCTCTGAAAACTATCCACAAGGCAACATAAGCTGTTACATTACGTAGTAAATGTGTACAAATGGTCTGTGTGTGTGTTTGGTATTGTTCATTACTGTAGCGGTTCTTACCTGGACACATTAGGTCCTGAGTTGCTTGACATGTTCAGAGTTCCTCTCAAAAGGCACAGTGTACACATGTTTCATCCTGACCTGATGTTTCTTCAGGACTCTAAAAACTGTTGTTAGGCTTACACTGAATATTTGCAAAGGTAACGTTGTCTGCTGAGATACGGTGTCTGATCTCAGCGAGCTTTATCCCATTGTTTCTGATTACCATAACAACAACGGCGGTTTCCTGCACATCAGTGAACATCCTTCCTCTCCCTTCTGTGAGAGGTAACCGTTGAGTCCTAGTAAGCAGAAAAGCAAAAACAATTACACATAACATTATTTACATCTGACATGTGCGACTGAGTCACATGCCCTTGTAGAATACAAGTTACCTGTTGGTCTGCCAGAAAACTCTAACAACAGATGCCACCGTAGAGCGTTGCAGATTCGGCTGCGCTCTCTGACCAGCCTCTCTCATTGAGAGACCATGATTTACCACATGATCAATTACAGTAGCTCTGATCTCATCTGAGACTCCAGCTCTTGCTCTTCCTCTTACTCTTCTGCCACCACGCATACGTACTCCTCGCCCTCTCCCAGCCTCTATTCTTCCTCTTTCAGCCACTTCTCCATCTCTGGCTGGGTCCATGTTTACATCACAACACAAACCTATTCAGCAGTTGACTACTTTTATAATGACGTTGAAAGTGTAACACCTGTGCAGCTGTTCATCTACAATTAGAGTCAGCTGTGGCTGGTTAAACTGCATTTACGTTTCAATAACACATTGCTGTTGGATGTTGCTGTCATATTCAGTTTTGCAGTATGTTATTGTTTTGAACATAAGTTTTACAGTTTTGTGAACAGTATGTAAGCAAGTGCTAAATGTCCTGTTAGTACAATGATTTTTGGCAGTTGTTGTGTCTGAGTGAGAAGGGACTTCATGACATTTGAGAGATGTAGTCACTCAATGCATTTTGTGCCAAAGCAATGATAATTGATCCTCAGTTTGGCCCACATAGACTTCTGTTGTGCACACTCTATGTAGAGTTTTGCTAATGTGACCTAAGTATTGAGAAATGGGTCCTAATGTCTGTAAAAAAAAACTGTAGTGAAACTCAGATGTGCTTTACAAGAACAAAAGAATGACAAAATATTAACATATAAACGCCTCACACACAAGTTTGTCATAACAATAACCCTCCCGCAGTCTCCTAGGTGTTAAATCGACCCCACTGACCAGGAGGGGATAAGGGTCTCTGACCCCAAAATGCACAGAATAGGTGCTGAGCTCTGCCTGTGTGTGTGTGTGTGTGTGTGTGTGTGTGTGTGTGTGTGTGTGTGTGTGTGTGTGTGTGTGTGTGTGCGCGCGTGTGTGTGTGTGTGTATGTGTGTGTGTGTGTATGTGTGTGTGTGTGTGTGTGTGTGTGTGTGTGTGTGCGCGCATGTGTGTGTGTATGTGTGTATGTGTGTGTGTGTGTGTGTGTGTGTGTGTGTGTGTGTGTGTGTGTGTGTGTGTGTGTGTGTGTGTGTGTGTGTGTGTGTGTGTGTGTGTGCGAGTGTGTGTGTGTGTGTGTGTGTGTGTGTGTGTGTGTGTGTGTGTGTGTGTGTGTGTGTGTGGCAGGAGTTGTGGATCGAAATTGGCGCCACCTTCTGCTATCCAGACTCCTTCAACAGGACGAAGGCACACCCAGAATGGGTTTCCGCTCCTCTTCCTCCCCGCAGCAGAAACAGCTGCACCTGATTTGTTGATTGCCACCTGAGTATAAAAATGCCAGAGTTGCCAGCAGCACAGGGGGATCAGATCTGTGCCGCCTCTCGAGGTCACTAATAAGTTTACTACAGCTAAATTCTCACACAGATTCATGACGCCACTGCTCTATAATGTGTTACAACTTCAATGCCATCAGTATAGTTACAGTGACCAATGATGTCCTCTGTGTATCTTCCTTTTGTGCATCTTAACCTCTCAGGTTTATATTTAGCTATGAGATGTAGCTCATAGTCATGAGTGTGAGTTTGTAGCTCATGGTCTTCCTTTCAGATGCTTGTGTCAGCAAAACACTCTTTAAACGGGATAGATCAGGGGTCAGAGCCACAAATGCACTTAATTATGTTGGCTAAAAATAAACTAGTGAGTGTTTTAAGTATATCATTAAAATGGGGCGATGGTGGCACAGGAGTTAAGTGCTCGCCCCGTAATCAGAAGATCAGGTTCAAGCACCACTCAGTCTGTCACTGTCGTTGTGCCCTTGGGCAAGACACCTACCCCGCCCACTGGTGGTGGTCGGAGAGACCGGTGGCACCTGTGTGCAGCAGACTTGCCTCTGTCAGTGTGCCCCAGGCAGCAGTAGCTACAATGTAGCTCATCACCAGTGTGTGTGTGTGTGTGTGTGTGTGTGTGTGTGTGTGTGTGTGTGTGTGTGTGTGTGTGTGTGTGTGTGTGTGTGTGTGTGTGTGTGAATGGGAGAATGACTGCTGTGTTGTAAAGCACCTTGGGGGGTTCCTGGACTCTAGAAAGCTCTATATCAAATACGGCGATTTAAGGCAGCTTTTTTTTTTTGTTTGTTTTTACGGGATAAGTAAATGAAACCTCTGCAACATAATATTTAAATAATATATATTTTCTTACCCAATTTTCTGCAATTATTTACATCTCAAACAAAAATATTCAAACCTTTATGCAAGTTTTCTATTTAACAATAATAGAGACCAAATTGCTTCTTTCTTTTTTTTTGGATAGTATATATTTACTTTAATCTCAGACAAAGTCACAATTATGATTCTAATCTCAGAGATCTGAGTTTGTTTAGCTGCCCTCTTCCTCCTCTTTTTCTCGAAAATGATAAATTGTTGTTTTGTCCTATAAAGGTTGCAGACACCTGGGATTTAAGATTTTATTACAAGTGTCTCTAATTTAATTTAAAGTGTAATTTAAAGTCGGAACGTTTGATGCATTTTTATTGCATTATTTCCCCCACAAACGATTCGTGATTTGGATGAAAACGTGTAGCTCCGGTTTCGGGTCCCTGCGGCCCATCTGGGCTCAGTTGGGATCAGAAAACATCGTTCCAGTTTGCAGGGGAGAGGTCGCGGAGCTACTACTGTGCAGACTCCCACGCTCCGAGTCTATTGGTCCATTCAGCAGGTTCAGCACCACGCAGGCTGAACAGCGACACGCTCCATCAGGAGGATGCCGCTCCGCTTCTCAGCGCGGTCACTATGACACCGGTTATCCTTCTTCTCCTGCCTGAAGCCATTGTTTCATCCGTCTGTTGGAAGTCTCTGCAGCCAGCTCGTTTGTCTCCTGTCGGTTTGATCGTCGGTGTTTCCAGATCTGGATGGAGGATCTGTTTTCCACATCGGGAATGCTCGGATTCCCAGCATCTGTTTGGACGTCGAGTCGAAAGGCATGACAGACTCTGCTGATCCCGCTGCTCAGGTTTTTCCCAGCAGCTGCATCGCATCTGCAAACACCGCCGCCCGACCACCGGGTCCCCATGCTGGAGCTCCGGTGCCCGCCGGTCCCTCCGCGCTTCTTGTGACATGACAGCTCGGTGCAGAGAGAGGACTAAAGGCTGCGGGCACGGGCTGCAGAAGGAACGGATCGGATCTAAGCAGAGAGGGTTCAAGAACTGAGCTTTAAACGTAAGTTTGGATTTCCGTCCTCCAGAGTGGTCAGGGAATAAGTCCTGGTCTCACGTTCTGCTTTGGGCCTTCGGCGTGGTAACACCCACCTTTGCCTTACATCTGATGTACGGCCTCATAGTGCTGGTTCTGGTCGAGTCCCAGCCCGCTGCGAGGTTCCCCAGGCCTGCCAGACTCACCCGGCTGCTGCTGACCATCACTTTCACCTGCGCGGCCATGGGCTGCATCCAGAGCATAGCCTGCAACAAGTCCCGCATCAAGCGGGAGAACATCGTGGTGTCGGACCTGGTTGCCACCATAGACCACTGCCCCACCGTCATCGAGGAGAACTCCCCCATAGTGCTCCGCTACAAGACGCCCTACTTCAAAGCCTCCGCGCGGATCTCGATGCCTCCAATTTCGCGCAACGAGACCTGGGTGGTGGGCTGGATCCAGGCGTGCACACAGATGGAGTTCTACAACACCTACGGAGACATCGGCATGTGAGTTCACACCGGCTGTGTCATCTGATGTTAGAAAAGGAGGAGACGTAAATGTCTTTATTATAGCACGCTTCACTCTGAGTTAGGAGCATTTGTGCGCGCAGCAGGTTAACTGTGCTCATCAGCCTCCTTCATTCAAACGCCCACCGACAGATTCTGTTCCTGTGACTCTGGCATCTAAATAGAAAAAGCTGCTATTAGATGAGCGAAACAACATTTGCTGCACTCAGACTGAGCCCGCGGAGACATCATGTCACCCCCTTCACAGCATATGTGAGGGGGTGTTTAATCCCATGGGTGGGTGTGAGAGGATGGGGTGTCACCAGACTGGTCATAAAAGCACAACAAAGGCGAAAAGGCACCAGATTATGAGCAAAACAGCGAGATTGAAACACACTGGCAGTCTGAAACCTTCAGTGTCATGAAAGTTTGAGTTCAGGAGGAGAGGAAATGATCTGCAGGAAGAGTAGGCATTTGAGATGTTGCATTCGGTTAGCATATTCTGGTTTCTTCTTACTCATTCAGGACAGAAAAACGGACTGAAGAATCATGCAAAAAGAGATTTGGATTTATAATTTTATAATCTGACAGTATTCAGCCCCAGTGGCACCCACAGAAAATTTTCATGGGGGTAGGGTGATGGTACCAGATGGGGTCTGAGAACATTTGGGGTGACACACAGAATCAGTCCATTGTTGTAACTCTGGGAGAGTTTAGGCTAGCTATGCAGTGCATTGCTCCTTCATTAATTTTCATTAAAAACCCAAATGCATCCAGCACCTTTAAGTGGTGAATGGCTTCTATTTGATATAGCACCTTCTGGAGTCCTGGGACCCCCCAAGGTGCTTTATAGCACAATCAGTCATTCACCCATTCACACACACATTCACACTCTGGTGGGGATGGGCTACACTGTAGCGACAGCTGCCCTGGGGCGCACTGACAGAGGCGCCACCGGTCCCTCTGACCACCACCAGCAGGCAAGGTGAATTAAGTGTCTTGCCCAAAGGCACAACGACAGTGACAGACTGAACGGGGCTCGAACCTGCAACTGTCCGATTACGGGGTGAGTACTTAACTCCTGTGCCACTGTCGTCCACCTCCAATTAGAGAAACACAAACATTTCTGAAAGATACACTTGAAACAGTTATTTGAACTATTATCACAACATGAATTATTTTAGATTAGTTTAATGCATGTTGCTGTCATCACAAAAACATCCACACAAATATAGATTTACACTTTTGTTTTGAAAATGATGACCAGCAGCAACCTGTATTCATTTATTTAAATTATGATCTGTTTATTTACTCGTTATTAATTTATATTTGCATACACATGTTCTAATTAAAGAGCATGCTTTTATGATTTTATGAGCTATATACCCTCAGGGGGATCCTGGAGGGTGCATGGGAATTTGCCCAACCAGTCTACATGTGTTTTGCGGATTTGGAGAAGGCGTTTGACCGTGTCCCTCGGGGGGGGGGGGGGGGGGGGGGGGGGGGGGGGGGGAGGCTGTTAGGTCCCTGTATGACCGGTGTCAGAGCTTGGTCCGCATTGCTGGCAGTAAGTCGAGCTCGTTCCCAGTGAGAGTTGGACTCCGCCAAGGCTGCCCTTTGTCACCGATTCTGTTCATAACCTTCATGGACAGGATTTCTAGGCGCAGCCAAGGTGTGGAGGGCATCTGTTTTGGTGGCCTGAGGATCAGGTCTCTGCTTTTTGCAGATGATGTGGTCCTGTTGGCTTCATCAGAACGTGATCTTCAGCTTTCACTGGAGTGGTTTGCAGCCGAGTGTGAAGCAGCTGGGATGAGAATCAGCTCCTCTAAATCTGAGACCATGGTCTTGATTCGGAAAAGGGTCGAATGCCTTCTCCGGGTCAGGGATGAGGTCCTGCCCCAAGTGGAGGAGTTTAAGTATCTCGGGGTCTTGTTCACGAGTGAGGGAAACTGGAGAGTGAGATCGATAAGTGGATTGGTGCTGCATCTGCAGTGATGCAGGCGTTGTACCGGCCTGTCGTGGTGAAGAGAGAGCTGAGTCAGAAGGCGAAGCTCTTGATTTACCGGTCGATCTACGTTCCTACCCTCACCTATGGTCATGAGCTTTGGGCAGTGACCAAAAGAACGAGAATGCGGATACAAGCGGCCGAAATGAGTTTTCTCCGAAGAGTGGCTGGGCTCTCCCTTAGAGATAGGTGGAGTAGATAAATCTCAGTGAATTCCCCCTGAATCAGTAGCTTAACCGAAACAGTTGAATAGGGAGTCACTGGCAATGCACGGGCCATCGCGTGTCACTCTAGAACTCCCCTCCAGTTGTTGGTTCGTCTTAATGAACAGTAAGCTCGGTCATTTGGGAGGGGCTCGGAGTAGACCCGCTGCTCCTCCACATCAAGAGGAGCCAGTTGAGGTGGCTCGGGCATCTGGTCAGGATGCCTCCTGGACACCTCCCTGATGAGGTTTTCTGGGCACGTCCAACCAGGAGGAGACCTAAAGGTGGACCCAGGACATGGTGGAGGGACTATGTCTCTCGCCTGGCCAGGCAACACCTTGGGATTCCCCCGGAGGAGCTGGCCCAAGTGGCTGGGGAGAGGGAAGACTGGGCCTCTCGCCTTGGGCTACTGCCCCCGCGACCCGACTCCGGATAAGCGGATGAAAATGGATGGGTGGCTTTTATGATTTGTGTGAATGTGGTTTATGACCCCCAAAGGGAGGCAGTATTTCCTTTACACAATAAATAAATAAAAATAATAATATAGAGGAGCAACACTTTGAGAAGCGGCTACTACATACAAATCAGTGTAGGTACTGATCAGAGAGGAACAGTCAGGTCAAAACACAACGCCGGGTCATGTGACTGGAACAAAGCGACTGGAGTGGACAGCCTTAATATTGACATTCATGAGTCCAAATGCAGACGGGAAGAAACTGTTTTTGTGGCGAGAGGTTCTGGTCTGAATGGATCTGAGCCTCCTGCCAGATGGGAGCGAGTCAAAGAGACTGTGTCTGGGGTGGGACGAGTCAGCTGTGATCTGACCTGCACACCTCAGTGTCCTGGTGGGGTACAGGTCCTGTACGGAGGGGAGTTTGCAGCCAATGACCTTCTCAACAGAGCACATGACACGCTGCAGCTTCTTCATGTCCCTGGTGGTAGCTCCCACTTGAGGTCCTGGGTGATGATGGTGCTCAGGAAGCGACATGAGACCACCATCGTGATGGGAGCGTCAGACAGGGTTATGGGGGGGCAGTGGGGCTGTGTGCTTCATAAAGTCCACAACAACTTCCGTTGTCTTCTGCGCATTTAGCACCTGGTTGTTGTGGCTGCACCAGGACACCAGCGGTTCGACCTCCATTCTGTAGGCAGAATCATCCCCGTCCGAGATGAGCCTGATGACGGTGGTGTCATCTGCAAACTTGATAAGCTTGACAGACTCGTGGTTGGAGGTGCAGCTGTTGGTGCACATGGAGAAGAGCAAAGGGGAGAGAACACAGCCCTGAGGGAAATCAGTGCTGATGGTCCACAGGTCAGAGAGATTCTTCCTCAGCCTGACTTGTTGTTTCCTGTCTGTCATTAAGTCAGTGATCCACTTGCAGATGGGGTCAGGCCAGTGCATCTAGGACAGTTTGACTTTGAGGAGGTCTGGGAGGATTGTGTTGAAGGCAGAGCTGAAGTCCACAAACAGGATCCTGGTGTAGGTACCCGGGGAGTCCAGATGCTGCCGGATGAAGTGTATAGCCATGTTGATGGCATCATCTACAGACCTGTTGGCTCTGTGGGCAAACTGCAAGGGGGGCTGTGAGGGTCTTCAGGTGGGGAAGAACCAGGTGCTCAAATGACTTCATGACCACAGATGTCAGAGCCACAGGTCTGTAGTCGCTGAGTCCAGTGATCCTTGGCTTCATGGGGACAGGGACCATGGTGGAGGTCTTCAAGCAGGCAGACACATGAGATGCCTCTAGAGAGGAGTTCAAATGCCATAAAGGAGAGTTATGGATGTGGTGAAGAAGGACATGAAGTCAGGTCGTGTGAGGATAGAGGATGCAGCAGATAGGACTAAATGGAGACAGATGATTCACTGTGGAGATCCCTGAAGGGTCAAATCTAAAGTGAAAGAAGAATCTATCTTCATTATAACAAAAAAAAGTATTATACATGAAAACAATGACATGGTTGGTTGTCTTTCTTCAGGTCCAGCTGGGAGCTGCCTCAGCTCAGAGAAGGTCTGGTGAGGGCCATCAGCGACTCGGACGGCGTCAGCTACCCCTGGTATGGAAACACAACAGAGACCGTCACCATCATCGGCCCCACCTCCAAGCCGTCCCGCTTCACCGTCAGCATGAATGACAACTTTTACCCCAGCGTCACCTGGGCGGTGCCGGTCAGCGAATCCAACACGCCCTTACTGACCAACATAAAAAGGGACCAGAGCTTCACCACCTGGCTGGTGGCGCTCAACACCACCACCAAGGAGAAGACACTGCTCCACACCATCAAGTGGAGGATGCGGGTGGACATTGTGGTGGACCCGTCCCTGCCTTTGGGCTCCAGAGCCAGGCTGGTGGGACGGCTGCACCAGGAGCAGCCACGGGTTCTGACCCGTATGGAGCCAATCCCTCTGAACGCCATGGGGAGACCGAACGCTAACGACGCCCAGGTCCTGATGTGGAGGCCGAGGCGAGGCCCTCCGCTTGTTGTCATACCGCCCAAGTAGAACAACGGGACCTTCTTGTTGGATGTTTTTAATCACACCACAGTGAGCCACAGATGACTGAATAGGACTCGTGTTAAATGTTGACAGCACAAATCGGTCTTACAATCCTGAGGGGCCTTAATTCCCCGCCGCTGCCTTTGATGACTCAGAAAGTGTCTCTGGTGCTGATGAACATGCAGGTGTTCAGTCCAATTCAGCACATCTGAGCCGTTTCTCTCCGATCAAATCGCCATCAGCCCTGGAGGTGTGTGATATAGCTTCTCAGGCTCAGAACGAGGGGGTCAAACCTGAACATTGGTGGTTAAAAAATAAAAGGTTTCAGCCTTCATGATGCTCTGTGGTGCATTAGGAAGTGCTGTTCAGAGGAAAAGGAAGGGTCATTTTAACTGGACGACGCGAGTGCAGGTGTTTGTGTTGACTTGTGCGTGTTTTCTTACAGGGAGCTCCGAGGTTGGCTCCACACTCGCTGCTGTGTCACACCAGACTGCCTCTCTACAACCACAGATGATCACAGCCATTCACGACTGATTGTTTTCACACATGCAAGCAACTTTTGCTTCATTCATTTTATTTCCCACACACAGTCGCTTACACAGTTCCTCTTATTTTGCCTTTTTGAGGATAGAGGTGACAGTTCATGGCCCACTGCAGCCGCTTGGTCTCATTAAATCTGACCTAAGCAGATCTGTAGGTGAAGAAGAAGCCTCAGCGGACAGTTTTACATAAAACAGCAGTATCTACACAAGAGGAGCAAGGGTAGGCGGTTCACTCAGATTACACAAAGCTCATTAGTATTTTTAGTATGAGAATGTCACAAATTGTGAGCAAAGTAAATATAAATGTATTGCGGTGATTTTGAAGAGTTTTTCATGCCAAGAAAACAAACCTGATGTTCTAAATTATTGTTTTAATTTTATATTTCACCAGCAATGTGTTTCAGCGAAGCAGGTCAGAGGATTATTCATTCGTTGTAGCTTCTGATTTTCACCTACAGCGGGGTTTCCTTTTGTGTGTTGATGTGGCACACAGCTGCTCTCAGATCAGCACTTTGATGTGCAAGTCAGGCCAGTTTAACATCTAGCTTAAATCGGAGCCATCTTTTGTTCTGATCCAATAAAAGCATTCAGCTGCAAATGTCGCTTCAGAATTTGCATCATTCAGGTTAAAATTTAGTTTTAAACTCACAGGTTGGTCCGTGTCCGGTGAGATGAAGCCTCTCGCGTCATCATCCATGCTGGTTTTTGTTCCAGGAGTTGAAAATGTGATTGGATCCTCTTAACTTGGAAGGATGCAGGATTTGCGAACAGAAATACATGTTTATCTGTTCCCTTGCAAAAGAGACGTTTCCCGTGCCGCGTCGTCGAATATCTAAAAGGTTTCAGCATTTTAATGTGGTTCTGCAGCCTTTGTATGCAGAGAAACATCTGGATGCTGTAAATCTCTCAGAGATGCAGTTGATAGGATGAAATCTCACATTTATGCTGAGAATGTGCTCCACACCTTTGCTCTCAGAGTTTGGAGAGCCTTGTTTGAAGGGTCGAGCTTGCTTTTCGGGTCCCTGACCTGAAGATAAACAACCGTTGCCTTGAGATGTTAAACCAGCTACCCTTCATCTAAAACTTTTACATTTGCAGCATTTTGTTGCTTTATTTAAAAAAAAAACATACCAGGGAAACATCTTGAAATTAGGAATGAATTTCTCCAAAAACTCTGTTGATTTAGTGTTATTTTCTATTTGAATGTGGGGGTTTTGAAATGTTGTGGATTTGGTCACAGATATTTTTATGAAGGAATATTGATTCCAGCTTTAACACTTGCATCTATTTTAAGAGAACAACACGTAGAAATGCAGATATGTTAATGTAGCACAAAGAACACATCCTATGAGTATTATTGTTATTAGCCTGGCAGGACGCTAATGACGAAGCTACTTAAAACAGAATTGTCCCGCATAAAATAAATATTAACTGGTCATCTACTGCATGTTTGTTTATTACTACAGGTAACAAAATTAATTGTTTGGGTGACTTTACTGACAAAATCTGGTTTATAAAGGCCGGAAGTTTGGCTGAAACAAAAAATGTGACTCAGGATGAAAAACCCTTTAAGGACAAACATCATCCTTTAATTTAAACGAGTAAAAATAAAAACTTAAGAGAAAAATGTTGTCAGTTCAAAGGTTGTTTTGTTTCTGAACTTCTGAGGGTTAAGATGACTGTTACATCGTTTTTATCATTACTGTTCCCATGCTGATTTTTGTTCCTGGTGCAAAACCAAACAGGCCTTCATACCTCATTTACAGCAGCAAAAACGGAACCGGCGTGTGACGAAACGCACAACGGATCAGGAAGTAAAGGGTTATCTGACAACCTCGACACAGGAGCAGCCAGTCTGACGACTTCAACTCTGACAATCAAAAATAAATTTAAAAAAGCAGCAAAGGTGACAGAAGTAAGTTATTTATTGAACGTATTGGTCAGATTATTGTGGCTTTTATATTAAAAAAAAGAAGTGGAAACTTGTTTTTCTCCTGATAAAAATAAATGAAAGTACTTGATCATGAGGTGGAGTCTAGTGTGTGTGTGTGTGTGTGTGTGTGTATACTTGTCTATACATCAAAGTGAGGACCAATGACTAGCTTTTTACCTGCAAACTGAGGACATTAGTACCAAAGTGAGGACATTTTTGCTGGTCATCACTTTTAGGTTAGGCTTAGGCAAAATCCAGTCACTAAAATGAATGGTAGTCAAGGACAGTCCTCACAATGAATGCTAGATGAGAAGGTCTGTGTGTGTGTACTTGTCTATACATCAAAGTGAGGACCAATGACTAGCTTTTTACCTGCAAACTGAGGACATTAGTACCAAAGTGAGGACATTTTTGCTGGTCCTCACTTTTAGGTTAGGCTTAGGCACAATCCAGTCACTACAATGAATGGTAGTCAAGGACAGTCCTCACAATGAATGCTAGATGAGAAGGTCTGTGTGTGTGTGTGTGTGTGAGTGCGCGCGTGTACCTGAAGTGTCTTTAACAGTGACGGATGTGCCTGTGGACTCCAGGTGGTTCTACATTCATAACTCTACTTGACTTGAGTCCAACTCAGAGATGATTTTAAAAAGTAAGAACAGCGTGTTGTTTAAACGTGAAACTTGGCCATTACGGCCCTTTTTCCTCACACCTTTGCACGGACTGTTTCCAAAGTCATTAAAACAAATGGAAAACATACCCGAGTGTACATTTATTCACCATGTGTGGTCGGTTTGGCTGTGATCAGATTATCATTTATAAGCAATATCATCAACCTCCACCTAAAATAACCCACAATCAAAATATTAACAACAGATCTGAATCTTTTCTGTTTATTGAACGTAGCTTAGTTTTAGCTCCGCTCTTAAATTTCTACCCGGTTCCTAACCAGCTCACTTTTATTTCATCACGACACAAAACTCCAACTAAACGTCTTTTAATGTTTGTTCCTACAATAATACATTCCATTCTGAAAATTAAAGTTAATGCGTGTCATTTATGACAGAAAACAACAGAGTAGCCACACATTCATTCCTTCTAAGTTAAACATAGTTTCTCTTAGAAAAGATTCACAAGTTAAACTTCAAAATAAAAGCAAAAATTGTACCCGCTTTATACCAAAAGTAGATTTCTAAACAATTTCAACATAAAAACGTACATACACAAGCTCACCACCTGCAGGTCTGATTGTTTTGCCACAAAGTCAACAGAAAAAACAGGATGTCGCCGTCAGCCTAATTACTACAGTAGGAAGGTCAGATATTCATCTGGATTTTAAATGGTGGCTATATTTAGGTATAGATTTCCTTTAAATAAATAATAAAAATAAAAACAAAACTGGTTGTTTCTTCATCAGTTTCACCAAAGCAGATAAACATTTCTTCCCAAATTGCAGTCAGATATCGGAGTTTGTTGTTCTGACTGGAGTGGAACAATGTTTTGTCCCACCATAAATCCCAGATTTAGAAAACAGCACAAGCTCTGGTCAGAAACCACCAAAGGGTTAAGGTTTGCTCCGGATTTTGTCTCCCAGGCAGAGACACACTTCCTATTTTAAGTTGTCAAAGCTTGTGGAGTTCAAATTAGCGGTCAACTTTGGAATAAATAACAAGAGACGAGCCTAAACCCTAAAATGTGCCACCAGAGGTCAAAAACAGGAGCAATAACCACCGTGGAGTCAAAGTGCAACTGGTGTGGCAGTCAAACTGGTTCTTGTGAACAGAACCGCTCCTGCTCTTCAGGCGTGGCAGACAGAATTACCTCGGCAACAATAACGAGAGGATATCAAACGCGAACGTGTTTTCTTTTCAAACTGCTTCTCCGTCTCAACCCAGGCACTTCGGTGTGGGATCCACCGCCGTGTTGTGCTTCCCCTCTGCTCCTCTTTCATCTCATCCCATTAAGTGATGGAGGCATTTCGCCTTCCTTACAGTCTCCCTGCCCTTCTTCCTTTGCATCTTAAGGCTTTGGCGTGACCCCCCGCTGCTGCTGCAGTTTTAGGCTATGCCCTGCTGGGGTTGGGCGGCTGCTTGCCTTCGTAGCCGTACAGGAAAGTGGCCACGATGACCAATATGGCACCGAGGAAAAACACGCTGTGTGCGGGAAGAAAATCTCAATAAGCTCCAGAAATTACGTTTCAGAAATAAAATAAGGGCTGTTCCTTTTACCTCGTAGGATCAAAGTCCTGCAGCCAGAAGTAGGAAATAAGAGTGGACAGGATGATGGACAGCGACGTAGCGAAGCCCTTCAGGATGTTGTCTGCATACTTGATGACCGCTGCTATGACCAGACCACCCAGCGCCTGGAGAAACAACAAACACGCAGACACAGATGGACAAAGGCATGACCTGAGGGGGCCAACAGAGAGCCTTTTGCACAGACACTGAACCTGTTCCCCTCAGAGGCTCCATGAGCTGTGACCGCACTGATGGAGGAACGCTAAGAGTTACCTGCAGGGCGACGACGGTCCAGGTTACGCCGTTGTACCCTTGAAACATCCCCGACTCCCTCACTCGCTCTCCGTTGTAGGCCAGCATCCCGAAGAGGCCGAACACCAGACCGAACAGCCCTGAACGAACACACACACACACACACACACCAGAGTTCAGATGAAAGAACAATAAACCACCGTTCCTTCTTACTGTTGTCCCCGTTTTCACTTTCAGTTTTCTGAGATGTCAGGTTTTCCATTTCTGATGGTGTTTTCTACATTTCTTTCTTGTCAAAGTCACTGCCGTGTTTTTGTTTTGTTTCTCAGAGCTGTTGAAGCGTTTTAGAGAACGCATCTTCCTTCCTGTGTTTTGAGCTGTCCATTCTTGTGTTTTCTGCCGTGTTTTTCCCCTTTAGATGTTTTCTGTCCAAACTCGCCAAGTTTTGCGCTTTCGAGCCGAAAGTGCTGAGAGGTTGATAAAAACCTAAAATGTTTACATATTTGGCCTTTAAAACTGCTAAAAATACTAAATCCATGTCATTCTGCTCTGAGCTCTCTGCAGATCCTGCAGGTGAAGAAGCGCGATGCTCACGGGGGACCGAACACGTGTCTCACCCATGCCTCACACGTTCCAGGATAAAAATAAAACCTGACAGAAGCATTCATCTCAACTGAAAATATATTGGGGTAGAAATAGTAATCCAGCTGCTTTAGGGTGAGAGAAGAAAACACACAGGCTCGTTTTTGGTAAGTGAAGAGCGTCGGCGTACGTCATTTTCTCCTGCAGCTGAAAGGAGGAACGGTATGGATAGGATCAAGCGAAACTCGGACAATAATCACCGGATGACGTCGATCTAGACACAGACACTAACCAAGCTGGATGTTCCGGACCCAGACGCTCTGTTTGCTCTCCTTCAGGATCTTCTCAAAGTAAACTCCTGCAAACCCGCTGGAGCAGCAGGCGACCAGAACCGCGGCGACCCCGACAAACTGGGAGCCTGAAGAGTGGGCCTCCTTCTCAGAGGTGGCAGCAGACTCAGAGGGCCACTGCGAGCACAAACACAAAAACAACAAGATCTTTACAACTTTCTCACACACGTGTGGGAGGTACATTTTCAAGTTGTTCGAGAAATTATTGACATTATCCCTGTGATTAAAAAAAGCGTCTGTGGTCTTTTGACAAACTCTGGATCAAATGTAGTTTTCCTCAGGGAGCTAAACAAAAGCCGAAACGATCAAGACTAGAAAAAGACCTTAAAAGAATAACCTGCGACCTGCAAAAGAGAGGATGCTGTTACAGTTTTTTTTCCGATTGCTAAAACTCAAAAAGCAAAAATGAGGCACAATTTTCACAACCTCTACTTCCGTTCCCAATCGCTCGACTCAATTTATCACTTCCTTATCATATTAGAACTCTGATTTTCCTCCTTTACACTCTGATGTCAATTTCACATGACCTTGCTGTCAAAACAGCACACAATTTTTAGGTTTACACACACTTCTCACATCAATTCTCAAAGTTTCAATCAACAACACACAAACATTCAAATCTCTAAACTTTCGGGTCTGGCGAGCAGTTTGCAATCAGGGACTGCAGCATAAAAGGAGGCTTGATGCTCTGTTTAGTTTGATGAATAATGGAGAACAGAGACAACAGACAACAGAGAAGGAGAGAGGTACGTATGGGAGGAGGAGAAAGAGGAGGAGGAAGGGGAAGGGGAGGAGGACAACAACAAGGAGACGCAAGGGAACAAAGAAGGAGAATCCAAATCTCCAATGAGATTTGTGCCACTGTATTGGACCATGTGCTCAACCATGGGTTGACCATGAGGGATGCTGGCCAGAGGGTCCAGCCAAACCTCAATCGTTTCAGTGTCGACCATGTTTCGTCTCAAAATGTGTGTGACGTCTAATGTTCGTCTATGAGAGAAGTGGGCATTGTAATAGATTCAGTGTGTTCCATTTCTCTAATTGTGTTTTCAGTTTTGCTCTTCAGTGTTCTTTCCATGCTTGGTAGTGTTCAGCCAAAAGCTACTTGTGTTTATTCAATGAATGGTGTGTGTGTGTCATGTGAAAATGTGGCTGTGTCTACCAAATTTTGGGAACATGTTACGAGATTTGATGGCAGAGGTGTTTTGCAAAGGGATGCCAGGGTTTAGCCATTTATGCGTGATGTTTGGGGTTTTGTGTGTGCAGTTTTGAAAAACGCGTTGTAGCAAACGAAAAAAACTGTAATTAATTATTGAGGGAAAAAGATTTGTTTTTATTAATTAAATTTTTTTTACAAAAACACACATTTTACATCATTTAAAGAGACAATTTGCAACATTTTCATATTTTTAAATCATTTTCTTGAGCCTGAATGCGCTAAAACACAGGAGTCAAACTCAGGCCCTCGGGCCAAATTTGGCCCACGAGATCAAACATCAAACCTATATTAAAACTGGCTGATTTTGCCGCAAAGACTACAAATCCCACAGTGCTTTGCGGCGTTAGCGCATCTGTCAAAGCACCCCCTTCTTTCTGTTTACATTCATTAGCATCCACGCTGTTTTTCGGCATCTGCAGCGTTACCTCCTGTCTTGCACAAACTGAAAACACTCCTCTTACTCAGCGCTGACTTTCCTCAGCAATTTGCCAACTTTGAAGCCCAGAAAAGGATTTCAACCACTCAGTAATCTGTTCTTGGCCGACATAGAAAGCGCACTGACCAATTTCCCGACCAAGATGATTGAACTCCAGTTTAGCAACACGCTCAAGTCAGTATGAGTCTGTAGCTGCTGCAGCTTTTAGCTCTACTCCCCGACACACTGACCAAACTGTGTGGTCGAACTGCTCAGATGCTCTCCATGTTCAGCAGCACCAACCTATGTGAGCAACTGTTGCCTGTGATGAAGATGAACAGAACATAGGCGGTCCAGTGATGAACTCCTTCCTCAACTCACAACCCACACGGATGCAGGTGTCTGGTTTGAACAGGTGAGCATCCCGGTAAATCAGAGTGGAGCAAACTGAGCTTGAATGATTGTGGTTTTTGTGCACTTTTTCTGCTCCAAAGCATGAATGTAAATAAGTGAGTTTGTGCATTTTCATTCAAGAGAATTATTGTTTTTTTTTTTGTTGGCCAGTTTAAAAAGATTTAACCTACTTTAAAACAGAAACCAGAAATACTACAGATAGATGAATAGAATAAAAAATAGAATGGAAAATCCCTTTATTGTCCCTCAGTGGAGAAGCTTGGTGTCACAACAGCAATAACATTAATTGAAAGAAAGAAAGAAAGAAAGAAAGAATAAAGAGTAAACAACCAGAAAACAGAAACACTTAAAAGAATCAAAATATTCAAAAGAAATGCTGTATATAGGTATACAAAATTTAAAGAATAAAAATAATTTTTTAAATGAGACATAATAAGGAACAAATTGATGCGTGCTTTATTTAAAATTGAGTTGCTCGTGTGTACTTTGGTTATTCCACATTCAGTCTTACTGCAAAAATAAGTTTATTTCCAAATGAAAAGGTTCAACCATACATATCTGTAGATTAAGGAAAATGTGCACATTTGCCATCACTTTTTCAAAAAATATTGAGTTTGGCCCGCGACTTCGTCCCAGTTTTCCATTTCGACCCAGTGTGAGTTTGACACCCCTGAAAACAACCCTTCACAGAGGAAAGGTCACCCAGCCCCTATCGTCACCTGTGGCCAGAAAACGCCCTTTACAACTTCAGAGAGGCGGGCTGCTCTGTAGGAACACTGAGCTGACACACCTGGCGCTGCAGTCTGCCTCCAGCACATTTCCTGCATGTTTTAGCTCATGAGCTGATTTGTTTAATTTAGTGATGAAGCACTCCTGTAGACACTAATGAAAGCTGGAGAAACGTTTCAGCTGTTAGGGGTTAAAAAGACAAATGCACAGCGAGGGGATAAACTTTGCTTTTGGTTCTATAAGTGAACACTAGGGGGTGCTAAAAGCAAGCCAAAACTGCCCAGTTCCCATTCAATGACTGCATCCTGGACAGATTAGTCTGTAGACAGAAACGCATCATCACATGCAGCATGAGACTTCTGGCAGGTTTCATATCAAGTGTAATGATGGGAAAAAACTAAATATCTCTCTTTTTTAACTCTACAACATTTGAAGCGTGCATCCTCCACCAACGCAGCTGACCAGAAATCAAAATAATGAGTGCCAATATTCTGAGAAAAGAAATATGTAAAACAGGCAAACACTGTCAAAACAAGCAGTCTGGATGGCTGGGATCAAGCTGAAGTATCACATAAATCACTGCTGGGTGAGGCCCAAACTCTCCACTCAGGTCCTGGAATTTATTACACTGGGAGTGTGAAATTCAGACTTATGCATCTTCGTAGATATGCTGACGTTGTGAAAAAGGCTGCAGAGTGCCGTGTGCTGTGGTAAGCTGGAAAAAAGGATGTTAACGCAAAAAAAAAAAAAACGCAGCAGTGGGTGTGCAGAGTGAGGAATGTGCTGCAGCTAAAGCATTTTCTATTTTTGATCAAATAAGGATTGTTTTTACATGAACTTTTATTTAGATTGTTTCATTTGGTGAATAAAGAGGCTAATAGCACACATTCCTGATTAAAAGGCAGAAACCTCATAAAGAGTGAAAACACGAGTCTTATTTGTGTCGGAGCTTCATCTTCTCCAAACTGAAGTTCTGTATGTGTCTTTAAACTTAAGGTGAACTTAGTAACTTAAGGTGTTGGTGCTCTCTTTATTGTACTAACGTTGCCTTCACTCTAGAAGAAAATACTCAGATTTTTGTCATGTTTGAACATATCTTTTTTTCTTATTGGGCAAATGAATACAAGTCATTAAAAATAGGTTTTACCAGCTGAGGGCATGTGCTGAGCTCAAGGTGATCTTCACCTTTTGTGTTGCCATGTAGGTCTCTACTGCCTTTGTAAACACACCAAACATGAAAAAACCTGTCCAGATGCTTTCTGTCAGTGTTTGGTTTTTGGAATGATGTGCCTAAAACAAGCTGTTTCAAAAAGTCCCCGTTTGTGATGTCACACACGAGGAAATGAGCACAGAACCACCTTTCATGTGCAAGCTGCTGCTGGAGGAGAAGTGACTCTACTCAGAGCTCCTCTTGAATATTAGAGCTTCTCAACTTATAGCAGCCAATCAGAGGATGGCAGTGTGGTCAGCAGTAGCTTGTTGTCTTAAAGTGACAGAGCCCTAAAACAGCTCGTTATTAAAAGTACTGAAATGTCAGGATTAAAACAGCTGAAATCGTTTTCTGTAAGAGGGATTTTGCACAACTTCATGAAAATGTTGTGTATTGACAATAGAAATATTATAAATTAAGATAAAAAGTCATAATATGTCTTCTTCAAGATTCCAGTATTTTAGAATTCAAAGGTGGAATATGAAACAGGAACACCAAAGTGACATCTAGTGTGTGAAGGTTGTAGTTGCTTAAATAGAACAAAGATTTCAGTTGTTGGGATACCAAGTTTGCTATCCATTCATCCATTTTTGGCCGTTTATCCGGGGTCGGGTCGTGGGCGCAGTAGCCTAAGCAGAGAGGCCCAGACTTCCCTCTCCCCAACCCAGTTGGACGTGCCCGGAAAACCTCACCAGGGAGGCATCATAATCAGATGCCCGAGCCACCTCAACTGGCTCCTCTCGATGTGGAGGAGCAGCGGGTCTACTCCGAGCCCCTCCCGAATGACAGAGCTTCTCACCCTATCTCTAAGGGACAGCCCAGCCACTCTTCGGAGAAAACTCATTTTGGCCACTTGTATCCGTGATCTCGTTCTTTCGGTCACTACCCAAAGCTCATGATCATAGGTGAGGGTAGGAACGTAGCTTGGCCGGTAAACTGAGAGCTTTGCCTTCTGGCTAAGCTCTCTCTTCACCATGACCGATCGGTATAACGCCCACATCACTGCAGACGCAGCACCACTCCACCAATCAATCTCAAGCTCCATCTTTCCCTCACTAGTGAACAAGATCCTGAGATACTTTAACTCCTCCACTTGAGGCAGGACCTCATCCCTGACCCGGAGAAGGCAT